GGCCAAGCCTCCTGTGTTCAGCTGTAGCCACGTGTGTCAGTGTATTGTCACTAAACATTCTGAGAGAGGCAGCACTGCACTATGATTAAATCTTCTATGAGAGAAGCAAAATACTTCCTGCTGTGATTTGTTTTTTATAATAGCAATAATGTTGACTGCATTCTAATATTCACAATAAAGGTCTGTTGAGATTGTTATGTGCCTGGGCTCCCTTTCCATGAATTTCTCTTCTGTGAGCTAGTGAGTGTTTGCATATGTTTTAAAGCATTAGGGAATCTTCAGTTGCACGTTTAGCCTGTAGTCCTTAGGTTATGTGCAGTCATTGATATTCACTTTTCTACATTGCAAGGCTTGAGGGAATCTTCAGTTCTATTTTAGCCTATAGGCAAATGATACAATCAGTAAATTATTTACAATACTGAATTACTTAATGTATGTGGCAAAGTAATTAGAAGATATTTCCGTTCCTGAATTATTTTGGTGTTTTAAAAATTTCAGGGTTTGAGTTTTGCAGTGCACTTTATTCTTTGCAGTCAGTGTCTTTCAAAAACGTGTTCACAGTGATGGAATCTCTTCTTTTGGGCAAACATGTGCCTTTGTACAATGTCATTGCAAAGTAATTTTAATTTGCTTTTAGTAATTTATTTTAATATCATCTACAATTTTTTCAAGACACTACTGTGGTAGAAAACAAATAAGCCATCAATGCTAAGAAAGTTCTTCTCTTAGATATCCTGTGAACAAAGGGCACAAATGATAAGCAGCAGATGAATGAAACTGGACAGAATCTCAATAAGTTACTGCCATAGAATTTTTTTTTCTTTCACAGAAAAAGTATATACAATAATAAATGTAATGAACTTTAAAATTTCAATTCATTTTAATCATTGTTGAAGGGACAGTCTCAAAGCAGGCTCTCAAGATACAAGACCAGATTCAGATCTTGGAGCAACACACTGAAACACTTTTTTTAATTAGCAGACTTTTTGAAGGAGAGGTTTCCTGACTCAGACCAACTGTCTGGTCAGCCCAGAGTCTTGTTGGCAGTAGAAATAGGATGTCAGATCTGTACAAATATACTATGAAATATCTTCAAATTGGCTTTCTCCTGAATTGTGTCTTTCACTTCTGGCAAACTGAGGGTTCCATTACCAAAATTTTTGGGTCCATTAGTTTTATCAGTCACTTGACAGAGATGGATTCCTCAAGTTTAATCCATTTTTTCATTGGTGACTTACAGAATTCACAGCTTTATTGTGTGGCAGGAGCTGTGTTTGTCTTTGAACTTCCTTTCTGACTCCACTGGGTCTTCACCATTGCCTTTAGTTCAGAGAAGGTTAAATATTGCATTATTGAAAAGACCCAAAGTAGTTTTGTCCCACCAACACCAAGAGTTTGGCACCCTGTCACTGTCCGTGTGTGACTGGTGGTGACTTCTCCCACTGCCTCAGCTTTTTTTTTTGTCAAATATTGAATTGATTCAAGTTGTAAATCCTGTGTGTCACTGTGGTTGCAGACCTGGCTCCTGCTTGGGGTTTCAAACCAATCTGCATCTCAGGTGTTGTGAGAATAAAATACCTGTTTTTCTACCTGGAATCACTGTGGTACTATTGGATAGAGGAAAACTGTTATTTTCAATGAATAAGTAAGAAAAAAAAAATTTCTTTGCCCTATAAATGGTCAATTCCTGCAGGGACAAATGCAAATGCAAATATTCATACATGGGCATCTTTAGGTTCTTTTGTCACCAAAGGCACTTTTCCCAATGATAAGTTACAATTTAAAATTTGAGAAGTCCTGTGCCCACTTTTCTGATCGAGCCAAATTTAGCATGTAAATAACTGAAACTTCCCTATCATTCTTTCAATTTGGAGAACATGTAATGTATAGAGTGAATACACTGAAAAGTATATTGTCTGAGGCTGTCATCTTGTTGTCTTTTAATTTTGCATCACATGAAGTCTTAATCAGAGATGATATTGAGATAAGTGCTTCACAAAATCTTGGAAAGAAATGTGCTGAATGTAAACCTTGGTTCTCTATCTGTGTTACAAATGATGTTAACCTTTTTTTATGTAGCTTTCTTAAAATATGTGAGAGGATTGTCTGACATTGGTGCTTTATTTAACATAGAAAAACAATCTGTTGTTTGAAATTAATTAACTGATTGATGTAAGTATAATTTCACAATGTTTTCTTTAAATTTTTGCTTCCAATTTTCTGCCTCATTTGGGAAGCTCTCTCCAGTTCTTTTTTTAAACTAAGGTTGACTTCTCAGGCTCAGATTTTATTGGGGTAAGAGTAACTTTTCTGTGGGTGCAGATAACTGTATATTTATATACAGGAATCTTTTATCCTTGGGCCTTTCAATATGTAAAATTACAGTTGCACAAACTGTCTCTTCTGCTAAGAAAGTGTATGCAAAACTGGAACAATGAATAAATGTCGTCTTCTTCTTTGAGGTTTGTGATTTCAGTGTCTCATCCCACTGACCTTTTTCTTTCCCCCAACAGTTGTAGTTTGTAGTATAGACTGAGCAGCTTTGCCAGTAGGTACAGCAAAACAAAACCCTCATTTCCCGTACTAGAGCAATGATTTTTTATAGTTTTTTTACAGTAAGGGTACAGCCACTTCCTCCTTTTCTGCTCTTCATTGGTGAGCTAATTGAAGATGTCACTCCATCTTTTCTCAGTTGCTAAAAATAGAGGTCAATACTATTATCCCTTCACTAAAGGTTATGCAAGGCTTTTCTTACTTTGTATTTGACCAGCCATAGATAGACAAGTGCCTTTTTTCCTCAGATGAATGTGAATTCCACACATTGCTTTGTAAACAACTTTTTTTTTCCTTTTTAGTCCACGGGCTCTTGCATCTCCTCAAACGTGCATGTACTGAGATGCCCAGCTTCGTTTGACGCACATCTAGAAGTGGTTTGAGTGATGCCAATTGCCAAAATTCCTTTTCTCACTTAGTTTTTTAAGAGACTTTTAAGACTTGGCTGTTCTTCCCAACTTCAGTAGTTCATAGGTTGTTTTTTGAATGTTTCTGAGGGAAATAAGCATAATCTTGGGAATCAGCAATATGTAGATATTGTGAGTTTGTGCTTCTTTTTGATAATAATAGCCCTTTGATACTTTGTGCTTTCCTGTCTGCCTTATTCCACTCTCAGCCTTTTATAGCAAAGAATAAAGAAGGAAAGTGAGTAGCAACCTTTACAAGCTCCTCATTTGCTGTGCAAGGAACCTGAATGACACTTTTCTAATAACTTTAGAAAATTGGACTAAATCAGTATCACACACAGACCCCCAACACACTCTGGAGATATTTCATTGGCTTGGAAACAGCACAGCCAGCACCAAGCCTGCTGCCCTTGCAGAGCCTGTCTAAGGCACTGGACTGGGCTCTCTTGTTGCTCTCCTGTGTCTGCCCCACTGTGCAGGGCTCAGACACACACCTGAGGCTCTTGAAGCACCCTTGGGTCAGAAATACATTTTATGGTCAAACCTTTCTTCTTTTTTTCTTTCCTGATTTAGCCACATTGGTGCTAGTGCTGACTGTTTAGTCGGATTCTTTTACTCTGCATGGATGTTTCCCTACAAATGCTATGCTAATCCAGAAATTCTCTTTTTTCTGTGCCTGCTTGATCAGGGCTGTTACAGGGTTTGTCATCTTTATGCCTCTAAAGGTTGCCTTTTTTTTTTGGTCTGTCATCTATGCTGGACGTGTTCTTCATTTTTTCCCAGCTTGATCTTTCTGTAGACTGTTGACTTTGCTCAAGTTCAGAATAGGTTACTTGGAAGTAAATTCCAAATACAGTCCCACTCATTTTTAAAAGCCTGGTCCTGCTAAAGCAAGCTTGTGCTGCTCTTGGAGATCATATTTACCATATCCATCAAACACTGTGGCATGGCAGTGGTCTACAGCCAGCACAGAAGGATGCTTGGATCACTGCTGTCATGATCTTAGTCTGTGGGAGAGTTGTTGAGAGCAGAGTTGTTTCTAGGCTGTATACTACCCATGAATCACAAACCAGAGTGCTGCTCTCACTTTTCCTTGAAATCAAGTTAAATCCAGCTTCAAATATGTGCTGTTGTTATTTCAGCAATTATTTGGGGCTTATTTGTCCAACCACCTTTGTACAAGTGAGGGTGAGTTCTCATAATTCGTCATGCAAGGAAATGCTGAGTCACCGTTACAAGAGGTGGCCAATTAACAAGTGAAATTCTGGAACCAAAGAAATAATATTTCTTGTATGTTTTATGTTGAGGATCTTGCATGTAATTAGTACCAAAAAGCTTAACTTAAGAAGCTTCGTGATCATGCTGATCTTACAGCTGGAGGATAAAGCCCAAGAAGTGAAGCTGTGCCTGTCAGATACTTGGCTGTGTTAAAGTGCATGGTGCAAGTGGAAGTGAAAGCAAAAGATGGAATGTAATTGACTCCAATCTTCCATTCACTTTAGCCAGTGAGATGCTGTTTTTCACTTAGTAAATCCTGTTTTTCACTTAGTAAATAACATCATGAGTTAAATTCACTCCTAATGTGCAGCACCCAGAGGTCTCACTCTAGTCTGTCCCTCAGCAGGCTCAACTCTCTGGGAATGCAAAAATGTGCAATTCCACCAGGGAGCACAGAGCCTGGCTGCCCCCTGGGGCAAGTGAGAACCAGAGCTCTGCCCAGGGTCAATAAGCTCAATTTACTTGTTGGAATAACTGAGCCCCCCTGCCACCCACTGTGCCTGCTGCCACTTGGCTCGTTGTGCTCCCTGGAGCAGGGATGAGAACTGCCTGAGGGCAGCCAGGAGAGCAGTTCCAGCTGAAGGAGCCTCTTGGAGTTTGCTCAGGAGCATCGTGTGCGTCATTCTCCCAATTCTGTGCCCAGCCAGCAGCACAGAAGTGAACCCATCCCCGTGATGGGCTCTATAAAAGGGCAGCAAAGGCTCTGTGGGGTGCACAGAGCTGCCCCACAGACAGAAGGGGATGGGGCTCTCCCATTGCAAGATGGGCTCCATCCCATTTTGCACCCTCTATTGCATCATTAGCATAGCAACAGCCAATATATTTGGTAAGTACACTTGTCCTTTTACTCTGCCTGTGTCCAGGGGTGACTGATCTTTGTTCTGCCCTGTGTGTTGTCCTGGTGAAATCTATACTGATCTTGAATCTTGCATGCAGCAAACGTAGCTGGTTATTGTGTGCTGTGCAAACTAAGGCTGGGCTCCTGGTTCAATACTAAACTAAGGATCTTTAAGCAGTCAGGCTTTGTATACCTGGAATTTCTGCGGGAAAAAAAAAAATTTCCAAGGGCTAGAGGAGTATAGGTAAGAAAAGGTGCTGCTGCAGGGCTGAGAAGTTCCTCAATAACATCTTCTACTTGTAGGTGCCATTGTCTAACTTAGGATTGAACCTAAAGATATTTGGCAGTCTGAGTGCTGCTGCCCCAGTTCTTTGGCCTGAATTTGATAGTCCTGCACAACCAGCGATTTGAGTCACTGAATTAATTAGTCATTTAACTCAAATGTCTTGATAGACCCTCTCTAGCACTGTACACAGGGATCTCCACTCATCCCAGAACAGCTGATGTTTGAGGTGAAAATGGGGAGCTTTGCCTATGTGACATTGTCTATAGATGAGATCACGTGAAATTTTGCAGTCTCATGAAAATTTTCACATGGTCTTAAGGGTACACAGTAAAATCTCACAGAAACAGATGTGACTGAGAAGCATTAGAAGCATAGGAACTGTCTGCAGATGTCGAAGTTCTGTGAGTTGCAAATTATTTCAGGCTGAAAAACATTCAGAATACTTATGATGCATTTGCACTACAGTGTGTGATCACACTTAGACCAGATACTGGCTTAAGTAAACGTTTGGACTAAATTGGCATACCTGTGGCTTTGTTTGCTATATTTTTATAAACTAATCTGTGGTATTAAGAGCATGACATTCATGAAATTTTGAGGATGAGGAAAGTGTCAGATCAACTAATCTGCTCTGTAAAAAAGAACTTATTGAATTTCGCTATTCTACATTCTACATCTAAAACAGCAGCAAATGAAGCTTTGAATACATTAAAAATTTGCTAGGTGGCTTCAGCAGTTAATCATTTGCCCCACTGAAAACTGAAAGTGCTCGTAATATGAATTAGTCTGATGCTACTGCTAGAAATTGATTATTTTTAAATCTTTCATGGGATTGAGAAGAAACACCTCTCCCTTTGGTGAAATAGTGACTTAGCTTCAATAAAGGATAATTACTCAGAAAATGTAATAGTGGTGTGTGTGGTTATGCAAAGGACTCTCTTGTGGTTATGGGCACAACTAAGTAAAGAACCCCAAGTACCAGAAAATTATAGCCTTGCCAGTACAGAACAGGGCTGAGACTAACTAAACACAGGCCTGAGAAAGTGGTTCATGATCATCTCCACTGTGTGCTCATCCAGCAGCTGGCAGAGCAGTGGGTTTGTTCAGTGCCTCCCTGTGCTGTCCCACACAGAAATGCCACTGGAAAACAGCCAGGGAGGACCCCTGAATCTGGCACTGTTCCCCTGCAGCCCTGGCACCAACAAAGTTTTGATAAGAATGGGTTTGTGGTGACACCACCCTTAGGTGTTTATGTTCTCGCTGTTTTCAGAGTATCAGACCGATTCCCAGCCGCTGCGTCCTTGTGAACTTCAGAGGGAAGAGGCTTTTTCAGCAGGAGAAGCCTACGTTCCTCAGTGCTCAGAGGATGGCCAGTTCAGGTAATTCATCCCTGCTACTCATGTGCTGCCATATGATGTGGCCTTTCATTGCTGATGAAAGTTTTAGCCTGTCTTGAAGAGCCACAGTCACAGGGGTGCTGGAGACTTGAAAGGACTTCACTGAGCCATGTTGCAGATTCTCTCCCAGATGAATTCCCTGTTATTGGAAGTAATTTCTGGGTTAAGAGGTCAGTCTAAGATTAACAGGCTAATCTTGGCAGCATTATTTGCATGCCAAATACTTGGTGCAGTTTGCAGTGTGGTGCAGTTTGCTGTCTTCCTACACGTACTCATGGGTGAATGTGTGTGCCAGCTGGCACAGCTCAGCCAAGTGACTGAGAACTTATCCACCCTCGTTAGTGGCACAGTCAGGTTTCCTTCTAAAAGCAATGAAAGAACTAAAAAGCACACAGAGAACAGTGATTTAGAGAGCAGCATATTGCTTGAAGGTGCAAGAAGCTAACAAATTAAAGCTGAGGCTGCGTACAGATTGTACAGATTGTAATTTCTGTACTATTATCTTGTTTTTGCCTCTGGTGGCATTGTGACCATTCTAGATTTGACTTAGAAACTGTCTCACAGTGCCTGGTGAATCTCAGATAATGGGAATTAGGGTTCTGTCCAACCTGCTTGCTTCCTCAACGACTTCAATTCACATATATACAATTCTCGAAGAATTCAGAGAATTACTAGAATTAAGGGTTCCCAGTGATCAGAATCACCAGAAACGCAACTCATGCCAATTCGATTATTTGTGATTTTAATGTATTTGATGTGGTTTTATGTCTAGTACTGAGGAATCTACACACGTGAAATAAAATGTTACTTGTGATCTTCTTCAGGACAGTCCAGTGCAGTAGGAATGGTCTTTCCTGTTGGTGTGTAGATGAGAATGGTGTTGAGGTTCCTGGCAGCAAACAGAATGGATATCCCATATCTTGTAAGTAAAAAGTTTCTATTTTTGCTCAGATTGAATAAAGAACCATTTAAATCTACATTTGACCTGCTGAAATCAAGAAAAGGATGGCCCAGACTTCTATGGACTCTTGTTTGTGGTAATTTGCTAGGTCCTTCTAGTGGAAGCTCTGGAGTTTCTTCAGGGCTTATCATGGAAACCTGATACACCTGATGTCTGTATTTATGAAAGTCCCAGTAAGACAAATTGTGAATAAAAGATTGATTTAGTGTAATGGCTTTTGAGTTGGAGAGCTTCAACCCCATCTGTGGTAGGCTTCCCTGTACCAATTTTCGTAACCTCAAGTCCATCAATATGCTTGTGCCACCTGGGTGGCAGACCTAGAACTTGTAATTCTGAGAAAACTCAGATGTTCCCTCAATTAAATGATTCAGTGCCCACCAAGAACCTTCCCCTAACAGTGCCCCTCTCTGGTACTTCAGGCTTGTCCTTTTGCCAGCTGCAAAAGCAGAGGATCTTGGTGAGCCGATACATCAATGGCAGCAGCATCTCCTACATCCCTCAGTGCCTGGATTCAGGGGCTTTTGATGAGGTGCAGTGTGACATGGAGCTGGGGCAGTGCTGGTGTGTGGATCCAGAAGGAATGGAGATTTATGGCACTAGACAAAGAGGAAAGCCAGCACAGTGTAAGTAATATTCAACAAAATTATGGGTTTTGTAGGTTTGAAAGACTCAGTGTGAATAGGGACCGATAAGATAATTGAGTCCAGTTCCCTGCTCTTCATAAAAACAAGATGATGCCCCTCAGTGTTCCTGCTCAGTGTAATGAATGTAACCCTCGTTTCAACAACAGGGTGGCCATTCAGCTGTTTGTGGGAAGTTAACACACAAATAAACATCACCCCTTTTCCTCATTAGGTCCAGGGAACTGTGAGATCCGAGATCGTCGCATCCTGCACGGTTTTGGGGAGAAGAGCCCACCACAGTGCTCAGCAGATGGAGAGTTTCTGCCTGTCCAGTGCAAGTTTGTCAACACAACGGACATGAGTGTTTTTGATCTTGTTCATAGTTACAACAGGTAAGAGTTCAAGCTTCTGAATCAGGAAGGTAATCCTGCACACCCCTTCAAGGCAGTGTCTGACTGCTTCTTTGTGATTTTTGCTACATGGAGCCCCTATTCTGTAACTGCACATTATGATATTTTCTGTTAGAGAATGAACCAAGTGAAAAAACCTTTTTCTTCTGAATTAAATCTGCTGATTAAAAAAAAAATATATTTATATATATATATATATGTGTGTGTGTGTGTGTGTGTGTGTGTGTGTGTATTCCATCCCTGCAGTCTAATTCGTGTGTCCTCACACAGCACTGGATACCACATTGTGATCTATAGTTGGAAAAGTAGCCCTGGCTTTGAGACAAGCAGACAACAGCAAATGCAGAAGGACCAGAGGAATTTGGATGTATATATTAGGTGGGAAAGACAATTCTGTATGGAAGAGGAAAGCAGATGGACAACTGATAACGTGCAAAAATTAAGTTCTAGCTGATAATGAGAACCTCTTGCCTGCCTAAATATTAGGCAGTGCCAGGGTTGCTCACATGGGTGAAACAGCAAATGATGAAGAGCTGTGCTGGTGCACAACTGGCTTTAGGTGGCTGCAGAGGATTGGGGAATGCTTCACAACACCAGATGAAATCCTTGTCTGTGGGGGCAGCAAGCTGTTGTCCTGTGGAGGAGCTGGGAATTAGTACTGTGATGGAGACATAAGGGATGGGCAAGGGGAACTGATGGGACAGGAGTTTGTTTTGTCCCAGATGTTCAGAAACCTTTCAGTGTCTCGTGAAGTGCCACTGACTTGGCACCTTAGCCAGCACCAGCTTCCCTGGAGGGGGCAGTGCAATAAACATAACAGCTCATTGTGCCGTGGCTCTGTAGCAGCAAAGATGTTTTATTGTAAATGTCAGTTTTGCTCTTTGGAGGGGTTTCTTTTATTTTAATTTAAGTAAAACTGAAAGGCAGGTCTGAAAGCACAGTGTAAATTTGTCAGAGCTTCAGGAGAGGTTATTTTGGTGAGAGCAAAATAATATGGCTCTTTTGTTTGTTGGTCTGTGGAGTGTTGAAATGCTAAAAAAGCAATTACAGTGGAGAAATCAATGCTTTAAATTGACATTTTTTGCCTTCCACTGGGAGATTTGCCTGCAAAGACCTGTGAGATTGGATTTATTTTCTGTCCATGTCATGTAATTAATCACAGCAGGATGATTTCAGTCCCAGCTGTCTACCTTCTAATTATGGCATTGGCTTAACCTGTTGCAATCATATCTGAGTATTTCAGGTCATTAATATATTTATTTTCACACTATTCCTGCCTGAAATTTCATTCTTCTTTCCTCAAACCAGGGCAGCATGCAGAGTTGAAGAGATGAGTTCCACAGCAAAGGACTGTAACTGAACAGGGATTTTAACCCATATTTTATGTCCATATGGAGCCAATGAAGAAACTTTCTTTGGTTCCACAGACAGATTTTTGAAATCTAGACATATCATCCTAACTCTGTTTCCAAATCATTTCCCTAGACCTTAATAAATATTCAAGAATAAGCCAGTATGTTAAACCACCTCCCCCAAACAAACAGATGGGGAAACTCAGAAGTTTAAAGCTTAGACTTTCCCAAACAGAAGACTTCCAAAAAGAAAGATGAGCCCAAATTTCCTGCCTCACCTGGAGGGCTTGGCTGCTGTTACTTCTTTTGCATGGACTGTGTCCAGGTCCTGCCTAAATAGGCACCCATATAGAGTGCCCTGTAGCAGATTAATGGGAATTATCAAAAAATCAAAAACCAAGGAAGATTTTTTTATCTTCTTGCTATAATCAGTAGTGAGTTGTCTTTGCTGGAAGCCAAGAGTAGAGACACATATTTTGAAGGCAAACAACTTCACATTTATTTATTTTCCTGTATATTTGAGTGTGAGCATTCTTGTTGAAACACATAAACCCACTATAAATTTATCCATAACTTAAATGTAGTCACAGTTGGTTTGGATTGACTCTGAAAAATGAGGAATTCTATGCTATTGCTACTCATCTTGATGTCTGTGGTTAAAGAGTCTGAGAAAATAAAAAATATGGTAAGAATTGGGTTTTCCACATAAGGTGAGAAAAGTTTTGCCCTCTTGTTTCAGTGGGTCTAATTTATATCTGTTTGTAATTTATTTAGCTTTATTCTTAACTTGGAACGAAAAGAACCAGAATGACAAGATGTGACTACACATCCTCCCCATATAAAATAGTGTAATTGTGCGTGTGACTTTAATGTTGAGAAGGAAAGCAGTAACATCTTCAGCTCTCCTGACACGAGGTGGTGGAGCTCCCAGGAATCACCTCTTCTGTGGAGACAGGATGGGAGAGTCCACTCTGGAGAAGAGAAGGTTCTCAGGAGACTTTATAGCACCTTCCAGTATCTAAAGGGGGCCACAAGAGAGGTGGAGAAGGACTTTTGACAAATGCACATAGGACAAAGGGGAATGGCTTTGGACTGAAAGAGGGTATTGTTTAGGTTTAGATATTAGGAAGAAATTCTTTCCTGTGAGAGTAGTGAGGCACTGGCACAGGTTACCTACAGAAAATGTGGATGCCCCATCCTTAGAAGTGTTGAAGGCCAAGGCTGGATGGGACCCTGAGCAACTCGTTCTAGTGGAAGCAGCCCCTGCCCAAGGCAGGGGGATTGGAACTAGGTAGTCTTTAAGGTTCCTTCCAACCCAGAATGTTTGATGATTCAGGCAAAGTCTTGGAGGTGGCAAAGGCCCCTTGCTCTGCTCACCTGAGCATCAGCTCTGAGCCAGACAAGCATTTCATTGCTGTTCTCAGGCTGCACATTCTAGAGCATCCCTGAGGCTGCTGGAGCATGGCACTGAATTGAGCCTGGTCACAGTTTCACAGGCTGGCTGTGAACTGCTTTTCCCCAGTTAATCAGTGCCTAATCCACCAACATTCTTATTGCTGAGTGTCCATCCTTTGTAAAAACCTAATTTGTGTAACTCTCTGAAGGCATAGAGCAGAAAATTCCATTTCCCTGTTGCTAGGTTTTTCCAAATAAGCCACGTGCAGCTGGGACATCAGATCTTTATAGTATTTCAGGGTAAGGGCAAGTGTCCATAAAATAATATGATTGTTTTAGAACTTGGCACTTTGAAACTCGGATAACTTATCTTTTGCTTGGAGAAACTCTAGGATATCTGTCAGTTAAAACCACGTTTATTATATTTTTTCCAACTTGGACCCTATTAAGTTTCTTTCTTAAATAATTGCTTTGCTGGAATCTGGCTGTTGTCACTCCTAGAATATTCCATTGGAAACCATCTCTTTCATCTCCAGAAGCCAAAATCAGTCTTGTTGCACATTAAAATCCCTTTCTCCTTCTCCTTAATCTGTTGAGCCATGCCTTGAAAACGAAAGATATTAGCGAGGGTTTTATCAGCTTTTGTACTTAATTTAGTGCAGAAATCATACGTGGCATGTAAGGAAGGGGGAAGCAACCTGATTTTTTAGGCATTCTGCCATCTCATGCAGATTTGTGGAAGGAGCTAATGAATGGGTGTTGTAATAACATTAAGCCAACGCCTGTCTATTTCACACTTTTTGACAGGCGTCCAAAGATGAGAATAGAATTGAAAGTGAGTTAGATGCTGGGTTCATGCTTAGGAAGGCTCAGAAATCTGTTTGAAGGGAAACTATCCCCTATTTGTTTAGAAAAATGCTATCCTGCTGAAAGAGTGATCTGGGTCATGTCAGAGCCTGGTTGACAAAAGGAGACCAAAGTGTTTTGTACTGGCCTTGTGCTCTGCAGACATCCTTCTCCTGCAAAATCAGGAAGGAAACAGCTGATACTTTGTTGTGGTCGATGGACTCTTCCTTGGGCTCTTCAGATGATGCTACTTTTTCTTCCAGGCTCCCAAGGGCTTTCCAGAAATTCAGCTCGGTGAAGGAAACATTCCCAGAGATCTCTGGGTACTGTTACTGTGTGGACAGCCTGGGGAGGGAGTTAGCAGACACAGGTAAGTTCCTTCCAGCATCTCATCCTTTAATCTGGGTGGTGTTGAATTCCCAAAGGAAAGGACAGTAACACTGTCAGTCTTCAGGTTCATTTGGAAGTTCAGTTTCAGTCTTACAAGGGGTAAGACCAATGTGACCAATGTGATGCCCATGGGAAGGGCTGGAGCTCACTAATGAAATCCCACCCTTTTAAGCAGTGCTTCAGTCAGCAACGAGTGGATTTGGTGCCTGGGAGCTAATCCTGTCCTCTTTCGAATGTAGAAATAGGATTTCTGAATGTCCATTTCCTGCCCACACTGTGGAAAGCTGTGTCATATTTGATATGTCCTATTAGCAAATCCAGGGGAATATAAAGGGCCTGAAGAATGAAATCTTTTCTTCTTGCTTAGGTAGAATCATGGAATTGTTTGGGTTGGAAAAGACCTTTAAAGAACATCTAGTCCAACTTCTCTACAATGGGCAGGGATATCCTCTTCTCTCATAACCTCAGGATTTAGGCATGTTAATAGTTAATGGGATGCTTTAGAAGAAAGAATGTTCTTTTTTCAGCAAGGAGGAATGAGGAGGTTGAGATTTCCAGATCTTCCTTAGATAATGTGGTTTTAATTTTAATTGTTTTTTTAAAGGGGAAAATACAAAACACAGTACCTTGAAATTTAAATGATAGATGAGAACTTCAACATTTAATTTCTAGAAAAGAACAAAGTTCTCAAAAAATCTGTGCACTCAGAGAAACTTCTGAATGTCTTGTTTTTTAATATGCCACTGAAATGACTCATAGTTGGTTTTGGTAACATCTGTTTCTGAAATTCCATCAATTTCTGTACTGCAGGCTGAACCTAACAAAACCACAGCCTATAGCCAGTTATGGAATGTTTCTCCTGCTTGTTTTGGAAGGTGCCAAGGTGTAAAAGTGGTGCCTGGGCACCCAGCACTGGGTGCAGGGTGTGATGCACTAGGGTTATGCAGTATAACTTCACATTTGACTTGTTTAGAGAACTGGATTTATTTTTCCTGAGAGTCTCCCAGTTTTACTCCTCTTGTATAAGGGTGACTTCTGTATTAAGAGCAGGCCCTCTGATAAAAGTCTGTCTTTCCCAGGCTTGGAACTGCTGCTTGATGAAGTTTATGACACGGTTTTCTCCGCGCCGGAGCCTGCGCGCACGTTCACGGAGAGCAGCATCCTTCGGATCCTGCAGAGGAGATTCCTGGGGGTCCAGCTGGCTACCTCTGGCAAGTTCAGGTGTAAGTGGCACCCAGGAGATGCTCTGTAAATCAGGTGGCAGTCCTGGAGCTTTTATGTGACAGCTGCTGTTGGGGAGAATTGTTCTAGGAGTTTTTTGCTCTAAAAACAGAAAATATCAGAGTTTCAATGCAAGAATCAAGGCCCCTGAATTGCAGCAGGCCTTTATCCTCTGCATGGTGCATTCTTTACCAGCAGATTATACCTGGCCCCTGATCAGTGCTTTCCCATATGCCTGCAGATCACATTGTTTGAAATGCCATGAACTCTCCTTATCTCTTGCCCTGAGATTATGGAGATGGATTTGTTGATTTATTAAATTAAAAGCCTGAGAAAATATTCCCAAATTTATGTTGGTACACTCAGAAACAGGAAGGATTTTACACTGGCCACAACACCCTCCATTCCCAGGAGGTCACGGAGGAGTTTGTGGTGCCTTGGCCAGCAAGGCTGAACTTTTGGATCCACTCTTGGGCCCATTCCTTCCCTGGTCAGGGCAGGCATGTGGGGAGAGAGTTTCTCCACTTACAGGCAGTGAACTCTGCAGGACAGGAGGTCAGGTACCTCCTCCCTCCTAGACCAGAGCCCAAAGCAAACTGCCTTGGCTGGGGAGAGTTTGAACCTCCTATGTGATACTTCATCCTCCCATCCAAGTCCCAAAGTCCTCTGACATTGCTCTCTGACTCTTGCTAAGGAGTTGCATCACCAGAAATATTAAGCAGATACTGATGTCAGTCTTCTGGCCATATAGTCACACAGTTTTTCTGGCTTTGAGACAAGCTGATCCTTCTGGAGAGTCTGGAAGGCATCTTCCCTCTGCACTGCACACTGGTTTTGGATCTGGCTGTAGCAGCAGCTGTCAGCACAGATGAAGCTGTAGCAGCCACAAGATGGAGATGTGACCTCGTTCATCAGCCGAGGGGGTTGCTCTGGTGACTTACACAGCTCTCACACTGTCACCCAAAGCCACTCAAATTAAGAAAGTTGTCCCCTGGATGAACAGGTTGCTCTGACACGGTGCTCTGGCTGCCTCACTCAGGTGGCTGGGTCTAGCTGGAAAGTTCTTGAAGTTAAGAAGTGTGTAGGCTGTCGGATTGCAGGTTAATATAAATAAGCAAAATTACTGTTCAGAGGGTAAGGTCCTGTACTGGAGAGATCATACCCCAGAAAATGTACTTGCTGAATTTTTGCCCTCTCTGCCTTTAAGACAGGAATAGGGTCTTCAGATCCTGCAGAGGGAAATGGAGAAATAGGGTGGCCTCCACCCAAATCTCCAGTCAGGTGCAGATCTGTCTGCAGGAGCAACGCCTTATTTTCTTCAGAAACATCGATGTTTGCCTTTGAATCAGTCCCCCAAGATGTACATCTGTCCCTGTTGACCATCTTTGCTTTTGCACTAAGGGCTAGAGCTCCCTGAGCCTCCAGCATGGTTCCCTGGGAGAAGTACTTCTGCTCTGCCTACTTGCAACTATGGCTGAAAAATGTGTTGAGGTTTTATCTTCTGTTTAGCTTTCAGAAATTAATACCTGCAGTAGAAAACCATGGGGCAAGTTCTTAACGGGAAAAGAGGATGGAGAATTCCCATTTTGAGCTGGTACTCGATGCATCACTGTAAACGATCAGGAAATTAAACTTTTTCCTAATTTTTTTTTCCCAAGTAGGCAAACAATGGGCTCAGACAGAGGTGAAACTTTAAACTTTCCCTGCTTAACTGTTTTCCCTGCAGGCCCCTCGAGGTGTGAGGCTGAGCGTTCTGCAGCCCTGCATTTCCAGCACCCCTTCGTGCCGTCCTGTGCCGCCAGCGGGGGCTACGAGCCCCGGCAGTGCCACCAAGGGGGACAGTGCTGGTGTGTGGACACCCAGGGACAGGAGATCCCGGGCACGAGGAGGCGAGGACAGCCCCCAGCCTGCGGTATGTATGAGACCTGCCAAAGGAACAATGAGCCCATCTCTCCGTGTCTTTAGGAGGAAACAGAACTGACCAGCTCCTTTCTCTGCTCTGACAGATTCTGCTGTTCAAAGATCCTGAAACCTGGTTCAAAGTCACGTTCTAATAAATTATTAAATATCGTGCTGCTTTTATTTGCTGTTATAATCTTTCTTTAGCCTTTTAGTTTTGCATGCAGCAAGGCTTTTCTTTGCAGCTCTGATATCTGGCTCTTGATTCCAGGAACTGAGGTGTTAAATGAGAATATCTGGGGTAATATAAGGAAGCAAGTGATGGTGATTTTGTGTTTTACCTCCTTCCTTTGGTGAAATGCTGTGGAATTTCATCTCCCATTCTGACTGTTTTTGTCAACTCTGTCATTGCATATTTTGCCATGAAAACTGCCAAATCCTGTAAAAAACCACCCAACAAACAATTCAGAAAAGGTGTATAGGTTAGGGCTTTGAGAGATTCCACAGAGAATTCACCATCAAATCAGTGCCCCAAATGGAAATGACAGCAGAATTGTCCAGGGGCCAGAGGGGAGGAGGAAAGTTAAAAACCTTTGCTCTGAAGTGCATTACCTAAATATTCAGGATTGTGCTGAAGGGCTGGGGCACAGGCTCTTAATGTGGGGGCTGCCTTGGGGGAAAGCAACTGCTCTGTCTGTGAGACACAGCCCAGCTTCCCATGCAGCTAAAGGAGGAGGAATCTGCCCTAGGTGTCACAGCTCCAGGGGCTCAGAGCACTCTGGGCACACACAGGCTTACTGTGAAATGAAAACTTCAGCGTGCCTTTGAGGCTGATCACCAAGGATATTACAGGGGAACCTCTGAGAGGCCTCGCCATATGTTGGGACTGGTTGTTTTCTCTTCGAGTATGCTTTGCTGAGCCCTCCTGATAATATTTTGAGGAGAGGGGGTGAAGAAGGGGAGGCAATGACTTCAGGCTGCTTGCAGCTTTTATTGGCAGGCTCAGGAAATTTAAGCAGGGAAAAATTTCTGCAGAGGTTTCACAGATTAACTCCTGAGGAGGTATTTCATGAGGTTATAGCTGAAGTCTTCAGACAGCTACATGCCATGTGTCTGTCTCCAGTTCTCTTCTGTTTTATTTCATGTTTAAAACCAATGTAGATGTGGTACTTAGGGACACAGTTAAGTGGTAGGCCTGGCAGTGCTGGGTTAGTGACTGGACTCAAGAACCTCACAGATCTTTTCCAGCCTTAATGATTCTGTGATTATTTAATGTCTTTGGCTCTCACACTCAGCAGTGTTAACACTGGAGGAGTCAGAGCACCAGGCAGTCCTGACAGGAACATGCTTCTTTTCAGACCTTTTACAGTAGAGTCACACCAGCAGTGCCTTTGTGTTTATTCTCTCTTCCTCTGTTTTGATTTGCTTCAACAGTGGGTAGGAGGGGAGAGTGTTTATGACCAGTGATCCTACATTTGTTTTATATTACTGTTCTTGTGGAATTGTGGCTTGCACTAACTTATTGGCCCTTTGAGGAATGCTCTTCATCCCTCTAACCAAGAGTCAACATTGAAAACAGAAGGGGCCCACCTACAGAAAGTTCTTTTACAAAGGAACATCTGGGAAGGGACTCTGAGTTCCTGTCAGGCACTGCAGAACACAACAAGGAGGCAAAAGCAGGTGTGAGAAAGACATCAATCACAGAACATTGCTTATCTTTTTAGCACCTTTTTTAAGTTTCCAGCTTTTATCCTTATTGTTAACAGGATTTGGGACTGCTTTATCATATTACTTGTTTGTGGAATAAATGGAAATGGAGTGGGGACCCCAAGAGAGCTGGTGCTGGAGCAGACTGAAGATGCTTATCCCTCTTGTCCCCTACAGGGATAGCAGTGGTGCTGAGTAAGAAAAAGTGAGAACCATGGAAATGCACATCACTTCCAAATATCCTCCTGCAGGTGTGAGATGCCCCAAACTGGAGGCTGAGTTCAGATCATTGTGTTCAGCCCTCCCCTATGGAGTTATCTTCCAAGGATTTGCCTAATTGCCCTCTAACCTTTTATGCTTACTAGCACTCTCTGGCAATAAATTTCATGATGATAATTATGTGCTCTACATCTGGACTTCTCTGTACTGCAAGAAATACTGGATAATAATTGTCTGTGAATGATGTGGAGAATTCTGTTTTTTAAAAACTTTTTTCATACTTTTTTTGTCCAGGCTGAATGTTTTTTATACTGGAAAAGCTGTTCTGTCCTCAAAATACTTTTGCCTCCCCTTCTCTATAGCTCTGCTACTTTTGCCTCCCTTCTTTATAATTCTGCTACTTTTCAAGGACAGGTAACTGTGTGGCATGTGAGTTAAGCTGCTGTGTGCATTCCAGAGATGCAGTCAGTGCCATAATCATCCTGTCTGTCTGATTCTTGGTGTCTTTATATTTACCAAGTCTTTCCTTTTTTTGCTGTCTTTTGAGCCCTAAGCTTTGTCCTTCTTTACTGATGTGTTGCATCCTAAGTTGGAGCCGTTTCTGCCTGTGTATCAGTGTACAGATGAGGCTGGATGCAGCTACACCTGTGACACAGTTTAGCCCAGGATATGGGGCTCAGAGCCACTGTTGGTAACCTCAATATGTTGACATTTGACTGTTTTTCTTGAAATTCCCTTAGAGCTCATTCATGAATGCTATCAGATCCTTAGCACTCTATCACTGCTAATTTTTACAATTCATTTTCAGATCTCCTGCAATGAACACCTCACTGAAGATCTAGTTAGGAAACTTCCATAAATGCCTCATTATTGGGCATTGTTTAAAATAACTTTCTGCTGTTCCACAATCTATTTCTCCTCCTCAGGTTCCCATATTCACCTGGATCATTGCAGGTTTTTATTAGCAACAGGCATCCTACTAGAGAGCTAAAATATTTGGAAAGGACATTTTTCATTCTTTCAGCCATGGGAACAGAGATGAGAATTGGGAAGCAACAGAACCAGTAAAAGACCACAGAGCAGAGAACTCAGCAGTGGGGAAGGAATGTTTCCTTTCATTTTGGGTCTTGACTGGAGAACTTTATTTATAGACCAAAGGCACTAACATTTCAAATTCCTTAACGTGTGCACGATGCATAGTTGAGAAGCAGGTTATTCTATACTTTAATGTTGTTTTTGTCCCAGCTGCTTGAACTAGAGCAATAGAATTACAGGTTATGAAGGTTCCAAAATGTCCTTTTTTATTCCTGTAGGTGAGGAGCAATCGTGCATTTCCAAGCGCCGACGGGCTTTGTCCAGGCTCCTTTATGGCCCTGCTGGGTACTTCAGTCAGTCCAGTTTGTTTTCCACACCAGATAAGCAGTCAGACAAAATTGATGGCTTTTCAAGACCCTGCCCTCCCTCTTTCAAGGAGCTGTTTCTGGACTCTGGGTTGTCATCCCCACTTGCACCAAGGCAGACTCCTGAGCTGGAAACCATCCTTAGTGAATCCATCCCAGGGATGTTCCCATCGAGGGACCTGGCCCGAGTGGCACTGCAGTTCACTGCCAATCCAAAGCGTTTCCAAGAAAACCTCTTTGGAGGAAGGTTCTTGAAGAATTTGATCCAGTTTAACTTCACAGGGGTACTTGGCACTAGTGGGAAGTACAGCATTGGCCAGTTTTTCCCACAGGAGGATGTGTCAGAGATGGATAATGGCCAAGGCCCTCTGCAATCAGCTGAGGAATTTTCCCTGGAGGTATCAAAGGGGAGCTCCATCTTGAGTAAACCTCTTGTGGGCAGCTTTGGCCGCACAGTAACTCTGCAGGACAATCAGAATCTGATGAAATTCCTTTCTTCTGTCCTGGAACTACCAGAGTTCTTTACTTTTCTTCAACAAGTAATTTCTGTCCCCAAAAGCATTGCTGAAGATTTAGGTGAAGTGGTGAAACTGGCACTGGGATCCAGAGACTGTGGTGAGGAGCCAAAGGACCTGTTTGTTCCAGCATGCACCAAGGAGGGGAGGTATAAGGAAGTTCAGTGCTATGCAGGAGAGTGCTGGTGTTTGGACACTTCAGGCAAGGAGGTTCCAGGCTCAAGACGTCAAGGCAAGCGCCCGAGGTGTCCCACTGAGTGTGAGAAGCAAAGGAGAGACCTGAAAAACCTGAAGCAAAGCCTGCCTGCAGGATCAGATCTCTTCATTCCCTCTTGTACTGAGGATGGAGACTTTCTGCCACTCCAGTGTTATGGGACAAATTGCTTCTGTGTCGATTTGAATGGCAAGACTATTCCAGGAATAAGGGGGAAAGCTGGAAAGCCGATGCAATGTAAGTCTTAGGGACTGGGAATTTAAAGATGCTTTCTTTTGTAATGGAATTCCATGGTTCTTTCTTAGTATCTGATTACATCTCGAAATAAATGGATGATGTATGCAAATCTCCTGTCTCCTAACAGGAAAGCAAGCCAGCTTTACAGTGGCAGGGGGATAGTGGGAAATGCAGTGATGTGTCAGCCTTGATATCCCAAGTCCTGAAGGTGTCCTGAGGGTGTAGTGTGGGCACACTCAAAGCAGAGGAGCCTGAGGTCTTGCCTGGTTACTGAACATGTCATTGGCACTGTCTCTACCTCAGAGTGCAGCTGGAGTGTGTAACATCCACGATGCCCAGGAGACCTGGAGCATCTGTGGAACTGAATGTGACCCCTGCCTAGTGAAAAAACTCTTCCTTCCAGACCAAGTCACCTGGGCACAGTCACTGGCTCATCTTTTCATAAGAACTAAAGATTTTTAGTGCCTTAAACTATGAACTTGATTTAGTCTTTTTAGCTCAAGAATATATCCTCAAATTGGTAAGATATCACAAATAGACTCCAAACATAAGACGGGGATTTAATAGCTGGTAGGTTTCTCATAACTCACAAAGTCAGGCCAAAAAGGTGAGTTGCAAATGACTTTTGACATCAGTTTGATAGACTGTGAACTGCCTCTCCTTGCCCTTTTCTTTATGGAATATGAAGAAAGAAGGAAGCATATAGGCAGTGAATATTTGTCTTTCAAGTTTCTGTGAAGTGAGAACGACACATCAACAGGGAGAATAGACCAAGAGGAGAGCCTGCTTCTCGTTTTGGGAGAAATAGCAGTGTCCAGCAGTTGAGAGTGGGGCTTAATGAGGGGCATCCTTTGAATAGCAGTTTGCAGAAGTAAAGGGGAGTTTGTTGTAATGATCTGAACTGAGAGGGGATTTATATCTAACAGCCCATCTGTAGTACAATCCAATAAATAAAAAGGTTTGGAATTCTCTGGTACTCAAATGAAGATGACCTCCCATAGTTGCCTGGATTTGGAGAGTTGCTTGGTGGCAAAGTGAAATTTAGCTCTGGACATGGCAGAAAGGGCTTCCAAACCAAACTTACTCCAGTATTTTGAGAAATGTTATTTTTGTATTCAACAGCAATGTTCAGTGGAGTGTAGGAAGAGAGGACATGCAGTTTTAAGATTCTGGTTCAGTGCAAGGGGAAATAAAGTCAATATTATCTCACTATTCAGATGGTTGCTTTTGCAGATTTGCTGAATAACAAGTAACAACCTGATTACCAAGTATATCCGAAAACACCTGATTGATGTAAACACATTCAGGAAGGCATTAGGTGGCACCTGGCCCCCCAGTAAGAACTACAAGTACCTAATGTACTCACAAATTAAAAAAAAACCAAAACATATCTGTATTCATCTTGGAGGGCTCACATCCCTTTGGAAATCTTGCCCTGGTTCAGCATGGGACCTTAATATTGCTAAGCCCTCTTAGTAACAGGCCAGGAATGTTGTTGTTATTGGGCTGAGTGACCAAGTTTTAGTAGTGGTGTTTATTGTACTAGAGGATAGGGGTATTGTATATCTTCAGCACATTCTGAAGATGTGCATGTTTTTCTTTTCCCAGGCCCAAGTGCTTGCCAAGTAACAGCTGGTCAGGAGTTTCTGAAGGCTGTGAAGCTCCTGTTGTCAGATCCAAGTGCTGTGCCTCAGCTGTCCAGCCTTCACCTCCCTCAGTGTGATGCTGGGGGTGGCTGGAGGCAGGTGCAGTGCAGTGGCCCCCCCGAGCAAGCCTTCGAGTGGTACGACAGGTGGATTGCAGAGAACAACCAAGGCAAGCCCCTGCCTGTTCCTGACCTATTGAACATAATAGCTGGCTATAAAGAGGCGTCCTCTGGAGACTTTTCAGCTTTTGTTAAAGCTTTGTATGAGGCTGGGCACCAGAATGTCTTCCCCACGTTCTCCATGTATTCCTCCTTCACGGATCTCCCACCTCAAGTGCTGAAAGGAAACCTGAGCAGTGCATCTGAGAACATTTTGCTGGACCCATATACGTTCTGGCAGCTTCTGACTGAGCAGCTGAGCTACTACCCAGGACCCTATTCTGATTTCAGTGCTCCATTAGGCCACTTTGAACTTCGTGATTGTTGGTGTGTTGACAGCAAAGGAGGAGAGCTGGAAGGAACAAAGGCAGGAGTGAACCAGGTTCCAGCATGTAAGTAACGATTTCTGGCATGTAAGTAGGAGTGTTTTCTGGTCTTTTATGCCACAAGAGAGGGAAGTCCTTTTAATTGCTGTGGAGTAGCAGACAATAACTTGTCAGAAAGATCATCAGCACTGCCATTATCTCTGGACATCAGAAGTAGGGTGACTCATTTTGGTAAATAAGTGGTGGCTGAGCTTTGGGAATAAGGAGAAATAAAGTTCCATATCAAGTCTGTGTAGATTTTATAACTCGGATTTTGGACATATAATGGTTTTGCAGAAGGTACTTAGCCAGATGGTAAGGGATATTAGAAAGTGTGAAGAGTTGTATGGAAAAATGAGGATTACACTGTAATGCAAATGACTTCCAAGAATGCCTTAAAAAGCAGCAAGAAGGATTTTCTTTACTGTTTCTTATTATGTGGTCGAGAGTAGCAGGTATCCCCTGTAAGTGACTAGGAGGAGAGTGAGGCCAGCACTGAAGTTCAGTAGCTCTCTGTCTAGACACCTCCTGCAAAGGTGCTGGGCCCTCCTTGGGGTAACTCCAGCAGATGACCTGTATTATAAATGCCATCACTGAAATAGTTCTCATCACACAGTACTTTTCCAGCTGTGAAAAAGAGACAGGACAATGAAGGTGGAGATTCCAGTTCTGTGGGCAAGTGGGGAATAAAGGAGATGAAGCAGATTAACAGAGTTATTTTGGAGGAGCAGCTTTCGTGGAGCTGGTTTGGTGGATTGAACTGCCCTTTATGGATCAGTAGATGTATGGAGAGGATAGCCCAAGTGTCAGCTGCCACTCCTTCATTTTCCTTTCTGACTGTCACTTCAGATTATCCACATTTTTAAGGCAGCAACTGAGGGAATGTTCTGTAGAGATGTATTGACTCAGTTTGTAACCAGTAAGGACTTGCTTAAAAACATCAAGCCTTTGGCTCAGGACATGGAGAATGTTTGTGTGACTTATGGCATTCTAAGACTCTTGCTGTTTAACAGCTAAGCAGTAACAAGTCTCCTTTGCTTGCTTCATCATGCAATTCAACACTGATTTCAGAGGGAGACAGATGATGCTAGTTAAAAGACCTGTTAGTTTTCACATGCAAATATTTACTGGATTTAGGTGAAAGTCATTAATATACTCTTCATATATACACTTTTCTATACAGGCCCTGGTGTATGTGAAAGTGTGAAGCAGGAAGCCATGAAGTTTATGGAGGAGGCAGAGCAGCTCATGCTGGCCTCAAACGGGTCCCAGTTCGCAGAGAGCTTCTTGCTGGCGAAGGGGATGCAGCTCGGGGACAGCGACCTCCTGCGCTCTGCTGGGCCCTATGGGCTGGGGACAGGGCTCTCCCAGCAGCTGCTGTCGGGCAGTGACCCTGCTCTCCAGCTGGCTGCATGGTCAGGTGGGTGGAAGGGAAGGGAGGGCTGAATTAGATGGAGCCACACCCAGAATCTGTGCAAGAGACCCTTGATGTCAAATGCAACTCTGCTGAAAAACATGTGCTGCTCAGCAGATGAAACTAATCAGAGTCATTGAGGTGCCACCCCAAAAACTGATTTCTGTTGTCTCATATATATGACACAATGCAAATGTAAAATCTGGGCGTTAACCAGCCTTTATGTACTTAAATTTATTTATTAATTTGTCTTCTAAAGTACAGGGAACATTCGGATTTTTGCAAATATGTGCATTTAATATATCCTGCAGTGAGCACTAGAGCTTCATTTTACTTCTCTTTTATAGTCCTGCACTTCTACTGGCAGAGTCACTTTACTTCAAAACGTTCTTCCGGGGAAGCAGCACAGCTGGGATTTCTCCCTTACATCCCTCAGTGTGATGGCCTGGGAAACTGGGAGCCAACTCAGTGCTATGAGAGCACAGGTGAGTAGTTCCTAACAAGACACTCTGGGCTGTCTAAATAATAATAATAAAAAAGCCAAACAACAACAAAAACCCCAAAGAATTCTAATTAAAAGATGGAAAACCAGTAGCAGTCAGGCTGGAGGAAGGTGGTGTGGTCTACAAGATGTGTGTAAATTGACTGGACTCCAGTGGCAGCTCATTGGGGCTCAAAAATCAGCAGATACTCAGTTGCTTGCTGCTAGTTGTGTTCCCTGGGGGTTGGTCCAGGAGCTGGTATTGCTTGATGCATTCACTCATGATCAGGATGATGAGGTGGAGCACACCCTCAGCAAGTTTGTGGATGATACCAAATTTCTGGGAATAGGTGATAGGGCTGCAGCTCTCACCAGAGCTTCTGCCTTTCCATTTGCACCACTGCTCTCAGCTGTGGTCTACTGACCCCTGGATAGCAGAGTTAGCTGTGACTTAGATTTACTGACCCCTTTCTATGGAGCTGCTGAGGGTGAAAATCTTCCTGGTGTGCAACAAAGCATACTGCAGTACCACATCTAAAATAAAGATGCTTTTCTTTCCTGGCCAGGTCATTGCTGGTGTGTGGATGAGAGAGGACGTTATGTCATGGATTCCTTGGTCTCACGCTCAGCAGAACTTCCCAAATGTCAGTTGAGTTTTCTTCCTAAATATTTGTCTTTACCTGTTCTTGTAAATTCTACTGTGATATGCATGAAGTAAGGCTTTCTTCTAATCATTGAGAGAAAGGTAAAAAGAATTATATAATTATATTCTTATTTTGCTAATTACTTTAATTTCGTTGTGTGTGATTTTGGCTTGCATGATTTGAGAGTGGGCCCTCTACTGTTGGTGGCCCTGCCTGGGCAGGGGGACTGGACCAGTTGTCCAGCCAGGTGTCTCCAGAGGTGCCTTCCAATCTCAGCCATTCTGTGGTTATCAAACACCAATCAGGAATTCTCTGCCTGAGACTGCAGAAGTGTGAGGGAGCTGGTGATGTAACCCTTTCTCTTGCTTAGGTCTGAAAGTTGATTTTATTTTAAAATTTTTAAAATTTTATTTTCCCTCTGACAGGCCAGACTTCCTGTCAGCGATCTCGAGGCAATGCCCTAATTTCCAGCTGGAGACAGAGCAGTGCAAAGCTGGACACCTCTACAGCTGATCTGTTCATCCCCAGCTGCCTTGAGGTGATTTGGCATGACTGAGGGAGGGAGCAGTTCTGCTTACACCATGCCACAGTCATGTACACGTTCTGTCCATGCTCTTTAAGCACCCCTTGTGCGTTTCTATTAACACGAAAGAAAAGGGTAAGACAAACCTAACAGCTGGTGCTTCCCTGCAAAAGGCAGAATTTAAACAGTTTTGAGATGGAGACTGGAAACAGGAGCTCTGTGCCTGCCCACGCTTCCCTCCCTCAGGCTGGCTCTGCCTGGTGCTCTTGCAGAGCTGTGCTTAAAAGGCACATCTTAATTGACTGGCATTTGGGGGGGGTCTTTCCTCCTGAGCTGTGAGAGAATGACAGAGTGAGAGGGAGCTGGGTGCAGATATCCCAAAAAAACAGGGTCTGTGATGCTCTCAAAATGTGGCAGTGAGCAGGATAGAGACAGGTAGGGAACAGACATTTCATGTAATAGAATCCTTATCATATAGAATCACATAATCATTTAGGTTGGAAAAGACTGAGAAGATCAAGTCCAACTATTACCCCAGCATTGCTGAGTCCACCACTCAATCATATCTTTAAGCACCACAGCTACACATATTTTGAACACATTTCAAACTAGGATTTTATCAGAACTTTATCTCAATGGACTTTTAGTCTACATCCTACTTAATCGTTGGACTTGTTGATCTTGGATGTCTTTTCCAACGTAAACGATTCTTGATTCTTTCAGGGACTGGTCTATCTATTAAATCAGTTAGACTGCATTTTGTGTTTCTTTTTAATATGTTTTAATAATGGACAAGTGTAAATATAATAAAGCATTTTAACCAATCTTTGGGGTATGGATTTTGGTGTGTCTGTATTAAAATGCATTGCTCTGTAATGACATGTCTTTGATTCTTTATAGACAGGAGAATACACTGTGCTGCAGAGATCTGACACAGATATTTGGTGTGTGGATCCTGTGTCAGGAGAAATATTCCAGCGTGGCAGCAAAGGCTTGGATGGCAATCCTGAATGTGAGTAATGCTTTGCCCCCTGCCTGTGATGCCTCATGCTTGGCAGCATATGTACTTTCCTTTTCAGAATGCTGCCTGTGAAACATGGAGACTTGTAGTTTAATTCCTCAGTGATAGGGTGCATACAAAGCACAGCAACATTGAAAGGGTATCTGAAAATAGGTACCCTTTGCTTTCTTAACACCAGAAATAAAACAGTCTAGACAAACTTATGAATGGGCACGATGCATTTTTTAATCTTTGATTTCTTACCACCATATTAACTATTTTAAAATGTAAATGATCATGTGATTATATTTAAAATGACCTTGATCAAAAATTTTTACTAAAAATATTAACTTGATATTTTTGCCTTTGAAATACCAGCATCTAAATTATACACCATCACATTTGTTTAAAAAAAACCCCAAAAAACAAACAGCATTTTTTCCAACTATTTTTCTAAAACAGTATTACTTGCACTTTAATATTTAGAAAAAATGTGGGGTTTTTCTAGAAGAAGTAAAACTCCCTGTTCCTATAGTGATTCAAATTATTTACGGTTTCATAGTCACTCATCTTTCTTCCTACCAACAAAACAGGCTGGGAGCACTGCTGGTAAAGTCTGTAGGTCATTTTATTGTCTTCTATTCTGTATCTTGCAAAGACTCTCTCTCTTGGAAGGTCCCAGTTTCTGTGACATGCTGCAGTCCAGAGCTGTTTCACGAGAAGCTGCCAGAGGTTACATCCCACAGTGTGAAGGGGACAAGGGGAGTTTCTCTGCTCTGCAGTGCAGCCAGGACCAGGAGAGCTGCTGGTGTGTCTTTGGCAGTGGAGAAGAGGTGCCAGGGACACGAGTGAATGGGGGAAGACCAGAATGTGCAAGTGAGTTCCTGCTTCAGTCATTTTACTTGTGAACAAATCCAGGCCTGAAATTTAACCCAGATCCTACATTTTTCCACTCCCTAGTTGAATTTAATCTTATTTCTTCAGGCCTTTAGAGATTTTTACTCAAGCAACATGCTTATCTTTGTGTTGTAGCAGATTTCAGACCTACCTGGGCATGCTGTCCAGTTTTCTTCAGGTACTTTGTGAGGGAAAAAGGAGACGGGAATGGATCCTTGACTTTTCCTAATTCATAAAATTGGTTGAATCAAACTATTTGAGCTATGAAACTCAGCTATAAGACCAATCTGAACAGCTTGCTGCAAACTTGAACCTGCTCCAGTCTGAGCTGGCTCTGGGATTAAAACCCATTCAGTTTACTAAAATAAAATTTGAAAAATGTATGCTTCTGCCATTCTGACTCTTGGCTTGTGACCAGAATTATGAAGGAGATGTGCCAAAACATTGCATATTCACAGAGTATTTCCTGAATGACCAGAGTTGTGAAGCACTGCAATTCACTCATGGTTTCCAGTGAAATATCCAAATGGGAGGCATTTGGATAAATTTAATTTGCAATGTCCTTTGTGCATTTTCCCATCACTGAAGTCAAACAAAATTAATTAAACTTTCTACAAGGCTCCAAAATGTAATGATTAGTGGAAAGTAGAGATGTAAAAAGAAAACCCTCAACAGCTGTCTGCAGGACACTGCTGTTTTCATAGGGTTTTTTTGTTGGTGTTTTTTTGATTATTTGTTTTTGGAGAGAAAGGTTGAAAAAAGTTAGGGAAACAAGTCCACATAATTTGTATCAGTTTCCTTTTGTGATTCTGCTGCACAAAGATCAACACAGGCTCGTGCCCACTGACCAAATAGAAGATGTGACACTTGAGGATGTGGTTTAGTGGTGGAGCTGACAGTGCTGGGCTGATAGCTGGACTCAATGATCATACAGGCCATTTCCAAACTTAATGATTCTACAATTTTATTGTAAAATACCTGACTGTGTCAACCCAATTGACTGCAAGGTGTTTGTCAACTAGGTAACCCAGCCAACTTGGAAATAATTTTCTTTAGGCTCTCTTGTAGCAATAGAGAGTTCTGAGGATGGGATGTTATGAGAAACCAGGAGGAGACCCCATGGTTGTATTTACCCCATGGTGTTGTGTGGAGATGCCAACTGAGCTCTGAGGAGATGAGCTCCAAAGCAGAGTTGTGAGGTCACCTGAATGTTGCCATCCAAGGCAGGTTTTTAGCTCTTCAGAGAAGCAGAGCTGACCACAAGTACAATGCTGCTGCCATCCTGTACTTTTCCTAGAGGAAATAGTGACTAGTAGTGATTAATGACCTTTCTTTTTTAAAATACAGAGCTGTGAAGGAGATCTGCTTTGAAAATATAGTGGAAACCTGGTTTTACTGAAAGCTATTTGTTTTCTGCATAAAGATTTAAATAATCTTTAGTGGTTTCCCAGGATTTTGAAACAGCAATGGTATTTTTCATTATATACAACTTGGTTATTGTGTAAAAATAAAGAGTCAAAACTTAGTTTTCTCTTCGGTGTACCCAGCCTTATGCCTCTAGTCCTGGGAATTACTAATAATTGTTCAGGAAAAAGGAGTACTATACTGCTACCTTGGAGATCTTCTCTATCAGCAAAATAAGCTGTTGTGGTGGGAAAATATGATAAATTTCTCCTCCAGCATCAGAACAGACAGCTATAAACAGAAAGTAATAACTCAGAGTGCCCAGTACATGCCAGGAGGTTCTCATTAGTTTAATCACTTCCATCAGAGGTAGAATCCAGCTTCTAGCTGGCATGCACTGGAGAGACCATGCCAAGTGCCCTAGCAGTCCTCACAAGCATCTCCCATCCTCATGACCACTTCCCATAACTCTGAGTAGAGACAGCTTTCCAGAGAAGGTCCTGGAGGTGTTAATTTCCTTGTGGAAATCTTTGGAAACACCTATGAAAGAAGTGTCAGTATTCAGCTGGATTCTGATTCACTCCTACAGGACCAAGAAACAGGACAATGACAAAATGGTGCAGGCTTGACAATAACATTAGTAAATGAAATGCATCTCTGGAGGGATAAATGAGCAAGTTACTGATGGTGACTTGAAACCTCTGAACCACACCAGGAAACCATTGATCACTTCTGTTTTGGGGGCTGGGTACTTCCCTGGTTCACACACCAAACCTCAATGGAATGGGCAGGAAGAGATTGTAGCACCATTCAGTTGAGACTGCACATAGGAATGTGTTAAAGCAATTAAGAAGCCACAGACTGATTTTTGCATACTCTGTATAAAGATGATATTATTGTAATTTAATGGCCAGGATAAGTATTACTATCTCTTTAACAGAGATGTCTTCTGGTCCTAAAACCTTGTGAGATTTATTAGAAGTTAGTTAAGCAGGGATGCCAGGTTTCCACCTTTGCTGAGAAAGACTCTGGCTACATAGTCAATGAGTGAAGAGAAGGAATGTAGTGGCCCCATTTACAGAGTTAGTGCAAAAAAAGTTGCTATAAAGGAGACTTTGATAAAATATGCATTTGACAATTCAGAGAGGCAGATATGAAAGCTTTTTTTGTTGGCATTGAAATGCTCAGACATGGAAAACAAAGATGTACTGCACACACTGGATCCCAGATTCATTCTGCAATGTTTTAATACTTTCAGTTAAAGTTTAATACTAGGTATTTAATACTTTAAATGAAGCGACTGCTTAGTTATAGAATTAATCTTCATATGTCCATCAGAAAGAGTGAGGGAGGGTGCTCAGACCTGAGCCATTGTCAGTGTTTGCCTCCCTTCAATGATCAGGAAGTTTAGGACTGATCTGAGCATTGTAATTTGGAAAATGATATATATACACAATAAACAAGTGAATTGTATGATATGATAACATCTTTGTATTTATTTATAAGTGAGGAAGTTTTTATTTTCTTCCTATGTTTTGTAGCTCTGGAACTCACAACTCTTTTATTATTACTGGATCTATTTAGTAATTAAGTTGGGATTTGGCTAATATTGAGTGAAGCAGTTAGCTTGCACAGATTAGTAAAAATTATCACTGTAATTAGTCTGCTATAATATTCTGTTACAGTGAGCTAGCAGGGTTTGAATGACTGTGCTTATACAGAGTGAGTTGTTAGGGAAAACTCTGTTCCAACTGTAAAGCTGTATACTACCATTTATATATATATGTAATCTATATTCTGCCCTACTGGTCACTAGAAACATCTTGCTGCTACTGAAGACACCACAGTCATGAGTTCCTGATCTCAAACCTTTCACTCAAACGTCAGTCTAAAGGGAACTGAGATGAAGTTTATTTGGCCCTGCCTATTTCCACTAGAAATTTGCTGTAAAGGTTTGTACTGCTGTTGGTTAGCAATCTCCTTCTCATTTCCTGCTTAAATTTATTCATGGCTGTTCAAAATGTGTCTGTTCCTAGAAATCACACACGTCCCTTTCTGGACCTGATTACCCATCATAGCCAAAATGTGTCTTTCCATCAGCTGACCTCAAACCAGGTCAAAGTTGATGAGTGGGAAAGGCACAGAGTGCTTTCTATTGAAACTGCATTTGAGGGGTTTATGGACTTTGTCCTAGCAGTCATCATAGCCTCTAACACATATTCCCTTTCTCCTGTGCCCGCAGTGTGCTCTGCCCTTCGGTGCCTCAGCAGTTGCCAATGGGGCTGTACTTTGTGAAAACATCCCTGGGCAAGCTCCAAGCATCCAGCAGTGCCAGCTCATCTGTCGCCAGGGCTTCCACAGTGCCACTCCCAGCACCTCATCCCAGTGTGACACGCGGCAGCGGCGCTGGGTCTCGGCTGCCCCTCTGCTCCACGCCTGCCAGAGTATGTCTGATCTGACCTGATCTGGTCTCATCTGGTCTGATCTGATCTGCTGGGGCTTGGGAAGGGCTCAGTGCAAAACTGAGCTTTGTTAAACACTGCAAAAATCGACTTTTATCACAGAACTGCTGTGCGAATAACAACCATAGTTATAGGGGAGTTGCTAAGTTGAGGTGCAGGAGATGTGTTCTGTCTTCTGCCGTCTTCACCTCTGGCTCTTGGCTGGCCCCTGTGCCAGAAACTGTCCCTCTTGCCTGTAATAATAGAGCCATAAATAGCTATTCAATCTATATGAAGATTTTTCTTGTTAGTTAAAAGATGCTGGCACCATAAGTGATTCTGATGGAACTACTTAGTCCTGGGAGAACAGATGAGCACCAGATGTTTGAATGTGGCTGAACTTGACTGTTTATTTGCATAATCAAGTCACTGTTACTTCTGCATCTTTTTTTCAGCAGTCTGTTCTTAAGGATTACTGTTGTATTTTTTGGCTGACTTCTGGTATTTTTCAAACCATTTTGCTTTCAAGAAAAAAATGGCACTTTAAATCTTGGAAGAATTGGATGTCCATTCAGAGCTCATGCAATTGGATATCGATGTTGGCCTTTTCAATTATTTTTAAAAAGACATACATTCTGATCAAAATGGCAATTTGTAGCAGTGCTGAACTTTGAGAAGTGCAGGTCTTCCTGCCAAGTTTGCAACTATTTTTAATTTCCAGAATAGGTTACACCCGTCTTCAGAATGGGTTAAACTCTTCTATTCCAAATGCAAATATTTTTAAACTTTCAATTTCAGACTGAAACTTTTGTCTGTTTTTTATTTTATTTATGAGGTTTCTGCAGCATGTTATGAAATAACTTCCATGTTTGCCTGAGAGTGGAATAACTTTGTAGGGATAGAGAGGAGTGTGTGGCAATCTGCTATAAAGTTTACTGTAAGCCAAGGACTTCCCCCAGTAATTTGTGTTTGGAATAGAGCATGGTTTTAAGGAGAAAGAAAAGATTCCCAACAAATCAGAAGGCAATTGAACAAACCTCACAAGAATGGAGAATTCACCAAAACACTTAGTAATTTGTTCAAGTGGATAATTTTCCTCACTCTCAAAAATCATATTTCCTATTTTTATCTATACATCTGGAGACTGTGGTTAAATCAGCTCTTTAAATACACTCTGAGAAACTAAGCAGAGAGGGGTTTGGTGCCTTGCAGGAAGAAGCAGAGGTTTGTGTCCTCTGGTCCTGTCTGCCATTCTCCTTGGAAGCTCTCCAGGCTTTCTCAAGCTCATTTTTGGGGGTGAGGGATGAGGAATTGTGCTCCAGCAGTGACATTTGTATGTGATGCAGGCAGGATCTGCAGAGGAGCTGAATGAGGGAGAGTTCTGCTGCTTGTCCAGCCTGGTGGGATAAGATCCAGCTCCTTTTGGAGGTGGAATGACAGCACAACTGTTGTGCTGAACCTGAGAGAATAAACCCTCCATGAAGCCTGGGATCAGTGTTACTCCAGGGGAGACAAGAAATTTGCATATTTTTTTCTTGCTAAAAACTGATTAAATAGGTTTGGATTTTCTGACTGATGAGCTCACAGATTTGTCATCAATTTGTGTGATTAACATCACTTGGGTTTGCTGTCAAAAATTCAGAAATCTCTTGTAGACATGCATGGCAACGCCATTATTCTGCAAATTTCTCCTCTCCTAAAACATATTCCCAGTTAGTTTGACAAGCTGGGTTTCTAAAAGTGTTTGCTATTAATTACTGTTACCATTTAAATGATTTTCATGATTGCATGTAGGAAAAGTGAAAATCGAGAGATCTTTCTGTTTCTTTTCTAAGTATTGGCATAATGTCAGCTTCCATGTAGTTCTCTGGAGCTTCCTATTTACTAAGGCTTATGAAAAATTATCAGTAATGATCCAGATTGTCCTTATTCTTCTGTGAGTGAGTGCTCCAGTGTGAAATATCTCTTCATTATTATCCAAGTGTATCACTTTGCTTTTTCTCTAATACTCAACATTTATATTTATCAAGCTTGTGTCTTGCTGCTTGTTATTTACTACTGGCAGCTCTACTGCTTTCATCTAAAAGTGGGGAGATGCTTTTGATGCAACATGAGAATGTAAAATCAATGATGTCTTTTCTCAAAGTAACTCTGAAGGTCAGGTTCCTCATTAGTGAGGTTACTAAATGCCCTCTCTACTTCATTTTTAGAGCTCCAATTATTTCAGACAGTCCAAGCTCAAACACACTTTCAGCTACGGCTGCCTCCTGAGAAGACATGTAGTTCTGACTACTCTGGGTTACTCCAGGCATTCCAGATATTTATTTTAGATGAGTTGAAGGCTCGTGGTTTATGTCACCTCCAGGTAATTTAAATTCCTTTTCTTCCATTGTTGGTGGATTTTGTTTGTTTTGTTTGGTTGGGTTTTGTGTTGCATTAAAAAAAAAAAAGTGAAACACAACATAGACCTTTTCCTGTTTGAGAAATCTAGAAGAATGGAATATGCCATTAAATCTGTCAGGATTGGCAGCACTTCTCATATGAATGAGTGGGAAAATAGGAGGTTTAGTCTCACACTACATCATCAGATCAGTTTAGTTCCAGCCATAAATGCCATATCACACCAGCCCAATATTTGTTAATAGTTTGTTTCAATGGAAGAGAATATTTTGACTATTCTTACAGTGACTATATGACTTGATAAAATTATATTTTCTTGCTTCTGCTTTTACAGTCCCTTTTGACAGTGTTAGAGTATAGGACAGTGCAAATGAATAGGGCAAGGCAAAACCAAGAAAGTTCTCAGGATGATTAACTGTGATTTCACTTAATTCTGAATTTGAGGTAAATGCATTTGGAAAAACTGGCTCAGTGTCCATGTGTGATGATTCCACTGTCTATGTGGAATGCCTGAGCGTGGATCGCCTGGGAGTGAACATCACGTGGAGGACTCAGCTGGAAAACATCCCCACAGCTTCTCTCCCTGACTTACATGATATTGGTAATTGTTTCTCTGATGTTTCTGTGGATTAATCCTGATTTGCTTTTAATCATTTTGTTTCTCTGTCTTTATAACACTGGTGTTGTGTTTCTGAGCTTTTTGTGTTGATATATTTCCCTTCTCAGTTTGTGACCACACAGTGGAAAGAAGCTATAATTGGATGTTTCTTTCAGATAGGACTGCCTTTCCCAGCTGCCTTAACTAGGATTCAAAATTACTTTATCAGGCATGAGCTGAACTGTCCCAGATGTTAATTTCCATTGGACAAGTCCTCAGTGGTGGAAAAGTGTTTATATTCATTGTATTCAGAGAAACACAATTCGCACATTGTCAAAAACTTAACTAATTTCTTGCAAGTTATTTTTTTCTTTTTTCCCCTTTCCCTCTTTTTCTATTAGTTGCATTACCTTTGCCACTAAAGAATGATCCTTACTTCTGATGTCTGAGTGCAACTACACAGGGACCACTGACTGGCAGATGTTTGCTGTGGCTTCTATGAGAGTTAGAGATCACTTTCAAAGCAGTCAGTATTTTCCTTCAAAATAAAAGATATTAAAAATCTATCCCAAGTCCAAATGCCCTCTGTGGTCATATCAAGAATAGTGGCCTGTATCAAGAATAATGTGGCCAGCAGGGCCAGGGCAGTGATAGTCCCCCATACTCAGCACTGATGAGGCCACAGCTCGAATCCTGTGTTCATTTTAGGACCTCTCACTTCAAAAAGGACATCGAGGTTCTAGAATGTATCCAGAGAAGGGCAATGGAGCTGGGGAAAGGTCTGGAGTTCAAGTGTGATATGGAGCAGTTTAGGGAGCTGGGGCTGTTTAGTCTGGAGAAAAAGGGAGCTCTTATTGCTCTCTACAGCTGCCTGAAAGGAGGAGGGGCTCATTCTCTTCTCCCAAATCTCAAGTGACAGGACAAGAGGAAATGGCTCAGGTTGTCCCAACTGAGGTTCAGATTAGATGTTAGAAATTTTTTCACTGAGAGAATGGTCATGCATTAGAATAAGCTGGCCAAGCAAGGGGCATCTGGATATGTCACTTGAGGACATCATTTAGGGGTGATTATAGTGCTGCTGGGTTGGTGGTTGGACTAGATTATGTTGAAGGTCTCTCTCAGCCTTGGTGATCCTGTGTGACCTTTTCTCCAGTTTCACTGCTTTGGAATGGTGTTCCCAGCACTAAACAGAAACAGCTCTGTCTGCATGTGTCCTTCCTTCTAACTTTGGGGCTTGGAGATGTGTCCTACAGCAATTTTGCTTGGTCAGAACTGAGTTAAAAACCTTCAGGACACAGATAGCAGCTGCAGTGGTCTGTAGTTCCTGAATCTACAGTTTGATATTGTTTACATCTGTGCAGTTGTTCCATATTCTAAGGGAAGCACAAAACACAGAATGATAGAATGTTTGGCTTGGAAGGGACCTTTAAAGGTGATCTAGTCCAACACCTCTGCCATGGGCAGGGACATCTTCAATTCAGTCAGGTTCCTCAGAGTCCCTTCCAATCTGACCTTGAACATTTCCAGGGTGGGGCATCTACTGCCTCTCTGGGCAACTTGGTCAAGTGTTTCGCCACCATCACTGTAAAAAACTTCTTCCTTATATATCTAATCTAAATTATATCTAATCTGAATTATATTTTATCTAATATTCCATTACCTCTGTGAATATTCAAGCAGTTTGCAGAAAGTGAATCAAAGTATAAGTGTGTTTGGTTTTATATTCAACTTTTCTTTTGAAAGTCTTCCTCTTTGAGGGCATTATCTTTTTGACTCTCCCCACACTATAAATTCCCTGTAGTACAAAAATAGCTTTTTGAGGGAATGATTGTATGGTTTCAGAAGAGACAGGGCAGAACCTGCTCTCTTTGTAGTCATGGCACCATCATGTCCCATTAAGTTCCAACTTCCATTACCTGCTAAGGCAGCTTTGAGGCCTTGTGTTTGAGGTGTCTTTGGGTGTATTTAAACAGACTGAGTCAAATAAGACTATAATTTTATAGACACTGTACAGATTCATTATGGTCTGCTGTTTTTTAACATGCTTATATTTCTGCATCTGCCTATGTTTTTAACTTCATCAGTTTCTGTGTGGTTATAATTTCCTGTATTATGGAAATGTCTTTCATGCTATTTTGTTGTATTTTTTTCCCCTCTTTAGAAAATGCAATTGTTGGGGAAAATCTCATTGGAGCATTTATAAAAGAGATTAAGGATGGTGTTTTTCTGCTGCATTTGGATTCCAAGCAGTTCCAGGCAGATTCTGTCATTGATTTTCCCCGGGATGAAGAGTTTGATTTGTCTCCCCGTGTGCAGCTCGGATGTGGAAGCGGGTTTCGAAGAATTTCATCCTCTGGAAAAGCAGGCCCCAGTTCACAAGGATGTGGTATGACTCATTTTTAGCTTTCCATTCTTAGATGTTGTCAGGAATCACTATAGAGCTGAAATTAGAATGTCATCAGTGATCTTGTGTTTAAGGTTCATATTTGAAAGGTGTGAGGCACCAGTGTGAATGGGAGAGATGGGAATTAGTGTTTTGTTTACTGTTCAGTCCTTGTGCTGTACCAATGATTGTATAGAAAGTTTTGTAAGCATTTTTGAAATAGTTTGCAAACATTTTAGATCTGTCTGGTAGTAGAAGGTCGTTCTGTAATGCACGTGATCCTTAATACAAGGATTTCACAAAGATAATGCAGCCAGAGCTTCAGGTAATGATACATTACCTGGAATAGAAACCTGGATGCAGAACTTGCTCAGTGTAGTGAGAGCTGAGGCTTCTGTGAAGGGTGATATCCCTGTGGAATCACTTCAGTGAGCTGCTCCTTAGCCTGGATTTTGCAGCTTGTTCCCCTGGTACACAGAGGCCCAAATCCAGTTAGAAGTGAGACCAGGTTCCAAATTTCATGTGTAGGAGCAAGGCATTAAATTTACTTGGGTGAGATTTTTTTTGTTTTGCTTTTGGTTTTTTGTTTGTTTTTGTATTTTTTTGGTTTTGTTTGTTTATTTATTTTTTGGTTTTTTCCTTTCATTTTAATTTATTTTTTCCTGGTTTAGGGTTACACAGTTTGGTCCCACTGGTAACACTTAACTCTCAGATTTTGGTTGAAACTTGTTCTCTAGTTTCTTATGTTATTAAAAGGTACTAATGTTAATGCTTGAAAGAAGTACAATACAGTGATTTGTCTCACTTGCAGGGTCAAACTGAACCTTCATGTGATTGTGTCAGTGTGCCCTGTAGCTGAAGTGATAGGTCCCTCCAGGAGTTATAGAGTCTAGAAAACGTGATTCTGCACCAATATTTTTTACTGTTCTTTGTGCCTTTTTGTCAATCAAACATGTGAAATGAAACGCAATTTTTCTTGCTCAAAATGTAATAGAAGACACAGATGTTTCTTTCACATTGTGACTAAAACTACAAAAAACAGGAGAATGCTTTGAAAAGCATAATTTGTTCTTTTTAAACTTTAACTGCTTAATTAGTGTCTTCATTCATTGCATTTTGTCTTCAATGTAGGCATGGTTTCTCATTTCACTTTAATTTCTGCTGTTGTTCAATGAGTATTATGCTTTGTGCATGTGCTGGAAATGTCTTTAAAACATATCAGACACTCTTGTGTATTAGATGATGGGTTTTTGAAAGAAGAATTCTGACTGATCCAGGATTTTTTACATTCTGTAATTGATTTTAGATATGTGCTTTATCCAGAGTAACTGCCTTGATGTGTACTAGGAGGAAATTTCAGTCTCACAGTTGTATCCACCCAGAACTTCCCACTGGATTATTTACAGCAGATGAAGGAAGATATGATAATTTTCCTACTAGCTGTCTTTTTAGTCTATTATAATTTAGGTGGTCCTATGAGTTAAATTAATTTATATTCTGATGTATTGGCACCAGAACAGCAATTCACCACGTGGGTTGTAGTGAGAATGGCCAATATTCCATTGCTGTTTCTCTCTCATGGAAGCTTGAACTTCTGTCAGGATGCAGGGCAAGAACAGAAATAAAGTTTTGCACCTTGTCAAAGTCCCAAAGTATACATTTGATAGTGTTTTGAAGGAAATCTACATCTGGGAAGCAGCTGTGAAATAACAAGCAGGAATATTGTCCTGCAAATATGTCTGTGACTCTTCTGCTTTAATGTTCATTTGAATGCTCTTGAGGGAAAGACAGTATTCCATGATATCCCAGAAGACACAGAATTTTCCCTGTAATATGCAACAGGTCAGCTGGAAATATTGCTCCTGATTGTTTTGAAAATTATATAGATACAGACTAAGAACATCACTAGGAACACATTTTTGTTTTGTGTTTGGGTTGTCATGTGCACAACTAGTGATTTTAATCCAGCCATTACTGTTTAGTTTGGAAGTGCTTAACAAAAATTTCTTTACCAGGAATTCTGAATAAAAGTGTTACCATATGGTGGATTTCTGTATGATGTTTTAGAGTTTCTGCTCCTCAGAGCCTTCCTGTTTGTGTCTGTAGTGTTAGAAGTTACTATTTTTGTATATTGTCTTCCTTTGTTTTCTTTCACAACTCATCCACCTGCATTATCTTATTACAAACGGATTTGACAGCTGGAAATCTGGCCTGGACTTGGTGTTTCCAAAGAGCTTCTTGTGCTCTAAGTCAAGAACAGATTTTGGGTGACCTGAGAAAACATATCACAGCCTAGATTCCTGTCATTGATGAGTTTAATGATCACTTAAGGAGTGTTTAGTTTGTTATACCACTTAGAAATACATGCAATAAGAGCTTGAAGCCTATGGCAAATCTATCAGAATTATTTATATATATACATATACACACATTATGCATGTATGTATATATATGTGTGTATGTATATATATATATATATACACACACCCACACATGTGTGCAAATGCCAGAACTGGTTGAATTCCAAGTGAGTAATAAGGTGATTGTTCTCTTTGCAGTTGTTTGTCCTCCAGGCAGTTATTTCCAGGACAATGAATGCATTCCCTGCCCTCTTGGCTACTATCAGTATCAGACAGGACATTCCTTCTGTATCAAGTGTCCTGTGGGCAAAACTACCAACTCCTATGGGGCAATCAGTGCTGATCACTGTAAGTTGAACTCATTTTTTCCATATCCTTTATTTTCTGGCTTCAAATATCTATTGGGTTTTTTTTATTCATCTCTAAGTTTTTTAAAAAAATTAAATCCTCCCTGTGGGGGTTTTTGGATGGATATGATCCCTTCTGCATACGTTCAAAAGCATTTTACAGAGTACAAACTGTCTGGTGTTTTGACCAAAAAATGCATGAGAAACAAGTGGTCAGTGTCATCCAGGATGTTGTGGTTCCTTTAGACATGTTCATTGTCCTCAGGAATGATATTTGGATATTTAATATCAGTAAGAAACTTCTTATGAACTTCATTTATTGTCATTTTCATGAACACTAAAATAGTCTTGTTTTGGGCAGCACTTTCCCCTGCAAATACAAATCCTTCTCACAAAGCAACTATTGAAATGTTCACTAATGATGGTGAAATCAGCTTAAATGATTTGTTGTTTGTTTTTTTTTTATGCAGTTCTATAGAGAAAATCAGTTATTAGGTACAAATTCAGTTTTGTCTACAGAATTATATTTATATCTTATATAAAATAAGATACAAATGAGAGTACCAAGAATGGGCTTCTTGGGAAGTGGCATTTATTATATGGTCTACTTTGTGCTCTTTCAACCTATTTGTTCTCTTAGGTGGGATAAACCTCCCATTTTTATTGTAATGCATCCCAACATCAATTAGCTTTTGCCTACAGTTGTCATTCTTTTCCATGTGTGTTCCCTGGGTAGGTATTGGACTTGTGTCCTTAAGAGTTTGCTCCTTAGGGTTTAAAAACTTGCACTTTCAATTTTCTTTAATAAACCTGCTCCCTGCCTGGTTTCCACTTTACCTTTGTGCTGCACCTCAGTGCCAGCCCTCTCCAAAAGGCCAGGTTTCACATTACCTTCCTACTTGCTTTCATTCCCTGCTGTCTCCTGGCAGAATGTGAAGAGTTTTTCTGACTTAATTGGTGTGATAGGTCTTCTCACTGCTCACAACATTTCACAGATCCACTGAGCAGTCATTGAACAAATCTGTATCAAAGTACAGTTCCTTCTCTGTACTTTGCTTTGCAGTACTGGAAATACATCAACAGAGATTTGATGCATGACAGAGAATCTAAAAAATGTTTGAAACACAAATTCAAGTAACAACAAAGCAATGAAACTACCATGCTTCAGAGCATATAACACTGTGCAAATCTTAGTTTAATTTTCAGTGAAGTCTCTGCTGTGCTAAGGAGACTTTTGTCCCACAGCACTGAAACATTGTCCTACAGCATTGACAGGACCAGTGGCTGCATCAGAAACATAAGAAAATGTTTTTGATGTGAGGACAACCAAGCACTGGCTCAGGTTGCCCAGGGGGGTTCTGGAGTCTTTGGAGATGGGTAAAAGCCATCTGGAGAGGGTCCTGGGCAGCCAGCTCTAGGTGGCCCTGCCTGAGCAAGGGGCTCTGACCTTATGACCTGCAGAGGTCCTGTCCAGGCTCTGAATTCACAGAGAGGAATTGTGACAATGACAGCATTACCAAAGCTCCTTTTCCCTTCCCTTGCTCTCCTGTACCAGGTGTCACACCCTGCCAGAGCAGTGAGCAGGGCCTGCAGTGTGATGAAGATGGCCAGTACAGACCTGCCCAGCAAGACCCTGACACCAAGAAATCCCTCTGTGTCGACAGCTCTGGAGCAGCGCTGGGCTGGACGGAAACAGAGGGTCTCCTGACAGATGAGCAGTGCTTGGGTAAGTGGCAGAAGGATATTTTGGATATGCTTTGACCCCACATAGGTGAAACTTCCTTATGAAGAGAATAATCATTCCACAGCTTATGGGGATTCACTGTCCCATAGTTATTCACTTTCCCATACTTGTGGCCTCTGCATTAAGCCACATTCCTCCTTAGTTTTGCATTTCTTGACTACTCTGGGAAGTTATTTCTGGTAAGGGAAAAGAGTGAAGCAGGTTTCTTGCACTCTCAGATGGCTGCCAGCTTTTGATGTGTGCTGACCTTGTGCTCTCTGCTTGGAGACCCAAAAGAATAATGAGAATGCTAATGAGAAAGAAGCAGAATTATTTATTTCTTTGTAAAATTATCCCTCATCTGTGTATTCATGGGAAATAGACTATTTTCAGCAATGACCTCACAGCTACAACATAACATCACCCTCTGGGCCCCTGCTGTAAGGTATCTGACTTGGGGAACACATCCTTGCAGGCTGGAGGAGGTTACTTGTGCTTGAATACAGCTGCAAAATGCTGGCTTTCAAGGATGAAAAACTTGAAAAAACAAAGAAAGTCATCTATCAAACAGTTCCCAGACTGCCTGCAGTAAGGTCTAATTATGCCTCTCAGCCTCAAAGCTTTTGCTTTTTCCCCAGCAGTTTTTATATGCTCATGATATGATTGGTATTGAATTTAATGGAATTTTCTGCTTACAAACTGATATCATGGTGTGCTTTGAATTAGACAATGTCTTATGACAAGTGTGATCAGTGGAAGGACTGTGAAAAGTAAAGTCCCAGTTGTGAAGAGGTGGCAAAACTATATTCAGTTAAAATAAGTCTTTTTTCTCCTCTGAGCATACTCAGAAACTGATCACAGTTATGAACATGAGGTGAAAGGCTCTGTTGGTCTCAATCACAGGGGAGCTGGGATGTTTCTCTGTGGAGAGAACTCAGGATCTTAAATCTCCTGTTACCATGAGCCTTCCTTACCTGCTTGGGCATTTCTGACTGTCCAGGATGGAGCAGCTGTAGATATTTGTGCTTCATTTTGTGGGTCATGCTAGAAGATGTCACTACAAATATTTATGACTGTTGAAAATTAATTTATGACTATTTAAAAATACAGCAACAATGTGTCATAGAATCAGAGAATGGTTTGTGTTGGAAGGGGCCTGGAAGATCTTTGATCTTGTTCCAGCATCCCTGCCATGGGCAAGGATGTCACCTAAAAGATCAGGTTGCTCAGGATCCCTTGAACACCTAAGAAATCTGTTTACTTGCTTGGATTGTTAAATAATAATTTTCTGGCTTATTTATTATTTTTTTCTTTAAAGATCATGCTTCATTTGCAGAAAGCATAATGTGAAATGAAACCATTTATCTCTATTTTTGCTTTTCACCTGCCTCTATTATTTCCCTTAATTGAATTCAGCACACAGCAAGACAGTAGGAGCTGAAGGCTGATCTTGCTTTGACAAGAGGCAGGCATTTGGGAAGAGTCACCAAAACCCAGCTGGTGTTTGGTTTTTGAGTCTTCAGACAGAAGAAGAATTGCCTTGTATGGATGCAGAGGAATAAGCTGTAACAACCATTGCTTGTTATTATCGTCCTCTCTCTCGGTATATTATAGGCCACTTAACATTTACACTTAACATTTGTTACTCAACATTTATTATATGGGGGTTGGGACTAGGTGATCTTGAAGGTCCTTTCCAAACTAATCCATTCTATGATTCTGTAATTACAGCAACAGAAGGACCTAGAGCTTTGCTCTAGTAATAAGTGAGATAGAGAATTTCTGCTCTGCACTAAGCCTGTGAAATGATTTTATGACTGCAACTTTTTTACCTTTCTTTTTATTAAAAAAATAAAATTTAAGAATTTTAAAAGGGCAGTTTTTTCTAGGATTTTTCAATGTTTTCAGTTTACTGTTTCCTTATACTTTCTATCTTCTCTCTTCTTTTCTCTCATATTCTTGTATTCAATGCATATGGTATTCAATAATATTGTATTCAATAATATGGGAGAAAAATAGAGAAAAAAGATTTTTCCTCTTGAAAATGGAGGGGTGGGATGAAGCCAGAATTAGGGGGAAAAACTCAGAAGAAAAGAAAAACAGTTGAGAGTGTAATTTTAAAAATTTGAATATTGGAATAGAAATGAGGGCAGCTTTTAACCAGGCATCACTGCAAGTTTCAGATGCAGAAGGGATTCAGTTTTGTGCAGAAGTTATCTAATGCTTGCATTTTTGTGCCCTGTATTTCTATAGAGGATGAAAAATTTCTGCTTGCTCCATATTTCTTCCTTGTCCCCATTTTAACTGGAGTGCAAGGATTTTCTTATGCTAAGCATTTGACAAACTCATGTGGGTTTTTTCCTGAGCAGAAATGATGGTTTTATCAAAAGCACCTGCTAGCTCAGCCCTGACAGCAGTGGACATTTGCTTCTGATTTAGCTCTGACTCTTTTGCTGTAAGAGTGCAAATGATTATTCTTAAGAACTTATCCCTGACTTTTATTTCATGGTTTATCCAGACATTTCAGGGAGAGAGGACTGTGATCCTCTGGCTTGACGCTGTGCCCATGAGCCCAGGGGAAAGAGGGGCTGAGTTTCCAGCTCTTCCCACAGCTGGGATCACACCAGAGCTCCTGCTTTTACCTCTTTTAGGTCTAGGCTTGGTATTGGCTGCAAGGAGCCCAAGGTTTGCCTTCACCTGGGGCCTTCAGAGAAGTTTGGTCAGCAAGGGATGATGCTAAGTCACCACGTTCTTCTCTTAACCACAGAATGGCTTGGGTTGGAAAGGATCGTAAAGATCCTCTGCTTCCAGCCCCCCTGCCATGGGCAGGGATAATGTGCTGTGCTCACCCAAATGCTCTGGTGCATCAACCTGTGGTCACACTGTGCCCAAGCCCTTGGTAATACAGGTGGTACCAACCTAATACAGGTGGTACCAACCTCAGCAGGGTGGTGGTGGCACTGTGTGTCCTCTCCATCTGTAATCCCCTTCAGGGCACAGACAGAGCCAAACCTTCTGGAGCCTGGATGAGATTCCTCATCCCATTTAGTGACCTTTGGGGTTTGCATCTCTAGACCCCATGAGCTTTTCCCAGTGTGTGAGCAGTGCTGCTTGTCAGACTCCTCACACACAGGTGAGCAGGTCCAGTGCAGAGGAGCAGATAAAAGGGTTTGGTCAGTAAATGACAGTCAGGTGTTAAAAGTGGAATGGAGGAGTAATAAAGCAGCATGTAGGACATAATACCTTGGATACAGCCTTGGGCCTGAAGTTAGTGGAGATCAGGCTGTTGTGTTTCTGGATTTCCTGTCTAACCAAGTGCTGTTGGAGCTGGCTCTTGTTTCTGTGACTGGTTGGCAGAAAGTTGGTTCCCCCTGTGACTCTATAGTTGGTTCAATGCCATGAACAAGTAATGAGAGATGGCAGGTCTGCTGCTGGAAGAGAAGCCTCACTGGAAAGTAAAATCCCAGCCCACTCCTGGCTAACTGGTTTTTAAAACATCTTGTGACACTTTTTATTTCAAAGCTGAAATTCTACCCTCATGCCAGCTGTCTCCTGCATTATCTGTGAGGTTATGGTACATCATTTAATGAGCAAACATCTCTCCCCACAGAATTCTTCAAGCTTAATTTCTACCTAAAGTCTTTGTCTGTTTGCAGCATGGAAACTGATAATATTACTTGGTTGGGGTTTTTTTTTGTCTTTTTTTAGTGCTCAGAAAATTTGAAAGAGTTCCTGCCTCCAGCCTGATTTATGGATCAGAAGAAGCTCAAATTCTTCAGTCTCAGTCATTTGGGGGAGACCTGCAAAGTACATATTTTCAGTGCATTTCAGGTGAGAAAACTGAGAAAAGCTGTAGAGACAACATTATCAATTGTGGAAAATAATAATATTTTCATCTGATGAGTTTGTAGTTAAGTTCCTGGATGAACTATATGTTCTGCAGTTCGGTACCAATTCACTGCAAGATATTTACAACTTTGGTGCCCTTGGTTCAGGGAAGAGATTGATGTTTCTTTCAGAAAGAAGTCTTCTGACTTTACTTACTATTTCAGACAAGTCATCTGACTTTAAAGCCAGCTGATGTAGTTTGCAATACGAATGAGAACTGAGATTTGAACCAGGAAACATTCATCAGACTGTGCAGATGTGCAGACAGAAGAAGGATTAGGTGTTCAGGACATATGAAAAGCAAGCTTTTACCTCTTCACCAATTACCTGATTGGCACATACAGTAGGAATAATCATCCTTGCTTACGTCAGAAGGGTATTATAAGGAGTTCAGAGATATTCCTCTGCCAGGTCTTGAAGTTTATATACTAAATTGCACCTGGTTTAAGTTGGTTCAGAATCATCTAAACCCCAGAGGAGTCACGACACTACTTTCAGGGTGCCTTGAGTCAGTCTCACTTTGTGTCAGGCTGTGAAAGGAGGCAGAGGGATATGTTCAAAATAAAAAAACTTTCTGGCAGTAATAACATAGATGTCCTGTTTGTAAGGTACATACCAAAATTCTGATAAATCGGTGTTTTTGTGTCACATGCCACAGTCTGGTTGGAACAATCACCTCTCATGCTAAGAAGAGAATATGTGATTTATTACTGAATTATTATGAATTATTACTGGAATGATTTTTCTGAAGGAGCTCATCCTGGCTGCATGCTTTAAGGTTTCTTGCACTTTCCGTTGAAAATGGAGACCTTCAAAAGCAAGACACTGAACTGAGAGAGCCTGAGAACAAACCCAGGGAGGAAATCATGCCCCTTGTCAACCAATCTGATTCCATCTCTCTCACAGATGTATTTTCTTTATAAGTTGTGTAAATGGCAGCACAGCTACAAAATATGACTGTGGAAGTTCTCATTGAGGGGTGAGGAGAGGATGCTGTTTCTCCCTTGCAGTGGCCAGGGGATTGCTGCAGGGGCAGCCAACATGAATGAAGAATTTGATGTTTCCCTCCTTCCTATCACTCTATTTGTCACAACCTCTTTGCCATGGGCTTAGTGTATCAGGCAGATGTGACGTGCTGGCAGAGTGGTTCATGAGAGTCCTGCCTCTGCCAAAATTATCCAGTAGACTTTAAATGTTTGGGTGTGTGGTCAGACCTGTTTCAGCTGTTTATATCATCAGGTGATGAGCAACTTTCTGGATGAATTTAATTCCATTTAAAATCCTTAACTCTCTACTAAAATAGTTGAGTACTAAAGTTCATTTGGCTAATTAAATTCATGTCTGATAGACATATGGAAACCTACATAAGTGGCAGTAAGCACTGGAATTTGTAGCAACCATTTTGCATGTGAAGTGCTAGGAAACTTAAAATTTCTTTCCTGTTTTTCAGACTGTGAGAGGGAAGATGCCTGTGGCTTTGCAACTGTAAGTCCTGCTGGTACTGAAGTGCTCTGTGCATTGTACAGTGCTGCTGAAGCCAACTTCAACTGCACCACCTCTGGATTGGTAAGAATGATCATATTTAAAAATACATGGTTATCATAGTGCTGTGTGTTCCAAGTAAATAGACAAGATCACACAAGAAAGGCAGGCTGTTACATGTCCCCATGGACACTGCTATTCTCTATGGCAGTAATAAATCCCTAAATAAATAGATAACCAACTCAACCCGGGTTGGTACAGAAGCTACACCCAGATATTTCCAAAAATGTCATCTGAATGCTTCAGTGTTTGGTTGAAGCATCACAAGCACTGTTGTCCCTAAAACATGCTGAGCACCTGCAGATAGGCTATCAGGTTGATTTAAAAAGAGAGTTAATCTGGATAGTCCAAACTAGAAGTAGCTGGGTAATCAGGTCACCTGGAACAATCATACTTTCTGAGTCCCTTCCTCTAGCCCAGGGTTTGAACTGTGTGCTCTTTATCACTGTACTGTTTTCCTATTCACTACTTTAAGCAGCAATGTGGCATTGAGGAGCTGAGATCTGTTTGATAGTATAAAAATTATCCATATGAGAAAGAATAAAAAATGTCCACGTGGAGTTATGCTGTGATAACCTTTTGTGTTGCTCATTGCTCCCCATTATTCTTTTTAATAAAGAAAATGTATTTTAGGAGAGGAAATCCATTATTTATTTTGCTTGCCTGTTTTGTGTCTCAGGTCCAAGGTGTCTTGGGGAACCCTGCTGCCACTAGCATCAGTGGCCTCAGCTGCTTGCTTCGTGTCAGGAATCCAGAGGGAGATGCACTGATGGTCTATTTGAAGAGAGGTACCAGATGTGAATCACTCACCTAAATCTGACTCTGTGTCCAAGCTGGTGGCTTTTTCTGTAGAGGGTCATGACTAAATTAAGAAAACATAATACTTTAAAGAACTCAATATTAAGTGGCAGTCCAGAAGCTTCAGCAAATCTTTCTTTCATATCTTGTTCCCTAGAAATTAGGAATACCTTTGTAAGCCATTTTGATGATTTTTGCCAGAAACTAGTCCCATAAAACCTCCAAATCTAACGTATGTATTTTCCTATTCTGTTCTTCTGACTTCTCTTCACTAAGCAATTTCTTATTTGAGCACATAAGGCATTCTTAATGACCAGCCTGTACGTAATTTAAGTTCACTTTACCTTTGATTGTGAATTGTTCTGTTAATATACCAACCAAGAAGTGCTCTCCATGAGTGCCAAAATATTTCAGCTGAACTAATGAATGCATGAGGCAAACGTTATTTATTTATTTATTTATTTATTTATTTATTTATTCATTTATTTATTCATTTATTTATGGCCTGAGTGTGGCTGATAGCACCACATCCATTGTGTGTCCAGATTTAAGTGTCATTCCAAACTGGAAGCAAGATAACCAAATGCTGCAGGGTTTGAGTCAAAACTCTCTGATCTTGCCATATTCTTTGTACTTCGATCCAAACCTCCAAGTCACTATTTATTAATATTAATAAAGAAAAAAGATCTGTCTCACCTGAAAATAAATCAAGACCTCCAAGCTTGTTGTGATTGGTATAATTTTGTTAACACCAGATCTAGTCTAGTTTTCTAGATCCAAAATTCTATTAATAATGGCCTCCTAATCATTAGCAGAAGTCTTAATTGCAGATGCTCTTATGCTGGCCAAATTACACGTTTTACTTTTTAAATGAGATAAATTTGTTTTATTTTTATCTGGGAGTTCCTAACAGTGTATCTGAGTTCCTGAAGGTGGAATATTACCAATCTTACTGCATAGATCAGTTTAGGAGCTGTTTGCTGGCAGTGCATTATAATCAGCTACTCAGGAATAATGCCACCACATCATTTGATGATCTTATCTTGCTTCTGAAACTCAAAGTCCAGAAAAGGACTTTTAAAACTGAGTTTTGATCATAAAGCTTTCAACCAGTTCCAGTCTGCAGGCAATTCAAAAACATTCCTTGAGCTCCCCTTGAGCTCCCCTTGAGCTCCTCTCCCTCTCTGTCTACCCAGAACAGGAATTCAGCTCCTCTGGACTGAAGGCCTTTGAGAGGACTGGTTTCCAGAACGTGCAGTCGGGAGTGTACAGCTCCATGGTGCTCCCTGCAGCCAGCACATCCCAGACTGATGCTCAGCTGCTCTGCAGACAAGAGTGCAGCCAGGACTCCTGCTGTGATGGATTCATCCTGAGCCAGCTCCTGCTGGATGGAGGTACTGCCTGCCTGCACAGGAAGGAGTTCTGCAGTAGGAAACCAAAGCTACATGAGTAGAACAGTACACATACCTCTGCATCATACCTGTGCGAGCAGCCTGTCTCTACATCACTGACTTTTTTTGGTGTTGTGAAGGTTTGAGTAATGCCCAAGACTTGGTTTGGAGCAGTAAAGACCTGAGGTAGAAATTTTCTCTTGGAACAAAATGGATATTTTGAAGGGAAAAGCCTGACAGAATTCCGGCAGTGTTTGGGCAATGCTCTTGGGAAGATGGTGTGACTCTTGGGGATGTCCTGTGCAAGGCCAGGAATTGGACTCAGTGATCCTTGTGGGTTTCTTCCAGCTCAGCCCATTCTCTGTGTGACATGTCCATCTGGATGAGATAAATTGTTCTGAAAACCTCTCTCCATACATAGCACAGCTTGGGTGCCAGAAGTTGGTGCCTTTCAGCTGATGCAGGAACTAAGAAGTTGCCTACAGACAGAATTCTTGTAGTGAAAATGAAAATCTATTCCCTTTTAAGAGCAGGAGAAAATGATGCTAAACAGAATTATGTTATTTTATTACATGCAGAAATGCTAAAACCTCCCAGGTCTGGATGTCTGTCTAGGAGAGCTAGTGGTAGTGGGATGGATGGAGTCTGGCAGAGGTGGGACTTTGGCACAAACAGGTTCTTCCCAAAAAGTTCAAGCACTTTATGCCAGTGCTTACTTTTTGCAGTTTAGTTTCAAGCTCACGTGATATTGATTTTCCCCTTGGAGATGCATTTCCTGTAGGAACTGTGAAGTTTTAAATTACATGCCTCAAGTATTAAAAGACAAGCTCTATCAATAGCCAGGAATTGGACTTGATGATTTTTGTGGGTCTCTTCCAACTCAGGATAGTCTATGATTCTGTGAAATCCAGTCATGCTAGTGGTTGCTATGTGACAAGCACTTTTCCTTTTTGGAATGGAAACTGATCCTAGATTTACAAAAATCTATGAAAATCTGTCGCAAATTATCTGTGAAAACTGTCAAGAAAACATTTCCAGAAGATTTTTCTCTGTTTTGGCATCTCTCTTCTTTAGCAGCTCTCTTGTTGTTGTTTTTTGTTTGTTTGTTTGTTTGTTTGTTTTGGGTTTTTGGGGGGTTTTCTCAGTGTTTTTTTGTTTGTTTGTTTGTTTTTTTGTTTTTTATTTTATCACAATATTCTAAATGATCTTGTAAAGTCGAATTCTCTATACATTTACCACCAAATTTTGCAACTTTTGGGTTCTCTCTACTTGTGAGTGTAGAAGGTGAATATCTGTTAGGTTGGGGTGACTATTTGGATCAGTTCTACAGGTCAATGCACTACTTGGACTGGCATTTTGCTTAAAAAGAAGAAAAAAAGAAGGAAAAGGTAGCATATTCAATATCTCACGTACCCAGTCCATAAAAACAAAATATAGAGCATTGGAAAACCTTAGAAATGCCTGAGCTGTGACACCAAGTGCAAAGCAAGAGCTGAGTATTGTCTAGAATTTATAGTAACAGATTGGTGCCAGAATATGTGGCCTTAAACACTCAGGTCTCCCAACTCCCATCACAGTGCTGGGGGAAGACTCAGGTCTGGGATGACTGAGATCAGGCACCAGTTCAGGAAATCATTGCAGCAAAAATATATAAGTGCTTTTTTTTTTGGTTCAGAATCTGAGAGTGCAAGACCATCAAAGGATTGGCTGTGTCTCTCTGGTGCTATGAAGTGCTGAGAACATTGTTGGGTATTACCAGATAATAGTAATATTTTATTAGGTGATAATAGTATGTGCCTGAAATCTCTGACAAACAGGCTACAAATGTTTAGTTTGGGTGTGAGTAGCTAACCTTAGCACGAAAATTTGAACATGTGATTGTAATTTGCTTGCTTTTTTTTTTTTTTTTTTTTTTTTTTTTTTTTTTTTTTTTTTTTTTTTTTTGGTAGCAATACTGGAGGATATCTCTCTTGAGAAAGTATTGGGAGGCTTGGGTAGGTGCAGAGCATCAGTGTAGTGATGCAGCTGTGTCTTTTCTGTGTCTTTTCCTGCCCCCAGGGACCATTCTGTGCAGTTTGCTGAGCTCCCCAGACGTGCTGATCTGCAATGCCAAAGGCTGGAGTCCAACACCAGCCTCAGCCATGGCTGGGATGTGTAATGGTGTGAGCTATGACGAGAAGGAGAAGAAGTTTTCCTTCACCCTGGGAGGACAAGTGTTCAGTGGAAGTATGTCAGTGAATTACCTCAATTTCCATTAGTTCTCTCTAATTGTTGTATAGACTCTATCTTGTTCACCAGCCTGCTCCTGTACTCCAATGCTTTTTTTCAAGAAAATCCATACCACAAGAGAACAAGAATTCTCTGACTGGATGCATTGCTAGATAGATGCACCTCTCACATTTTGCCACACGAACATTTATGAAAGTTGAGACTGTGCTTAATATGTCACTCTGTAATACTTGAAGCATTTAATTCAGGCAGATCCAAGCCAAAAATCTTGAAGAAAGGTAAAGTCTGGAGCAAAGATAAAAAGTGAGATGCCCAGACCTACGTGGTAAAAGCAATGATTGGAAATTGAGTAAAGTTTGGCACCCTGGACCCAGACTAGCCCCATGACACCTGCGACCTTTTTCCTTAGACTTTTATATTGTAAAGAAGGTGTTCATTGTTTAGTGATGTGTATTCTATGCAACTTCTGCGCATTTTAAAAATATGGTTAATTTAAACAGCTATTCTAACAAATCTTTTTCTTTACTAGCTTCTCAGTTGATGGAAGAGGCAGAAAGAAATTTCACTACCTTTCAGGAAATTTACCTGTGGAGAGGTAAGTTGTCGCACAGAATTTCTTGCAAAAATTAATGATGAACTGTAGGGTGTGGCGTATGTCTATTCTATAATGGAAATGTTATTGTCACTTCATTTCATGCTATCCAAATTAAGACACAACTCAGAAGCCTATTTTGGCAGGGATGTGTAATCTGGAGTAATTCAACTGCCAGTTTAATGAAATTTGGGTAAATTCTTGTGTGTGAGAACATAATTTATAACTTCTAATACTCTTGAAAATGATATCATGAAGTTACCTGTCTTTGTCCTATCAATGTCCAAGTACCACAATAATTTGGCACTTTATGCCTAATTACATGGGTTATGTTTATTTGTAGAGTAAATGTATTATTTTTTTTCTTTCTGAATCTCACCATATACCTGGCACGACCTGCACAAATGATTTGTAATAATGCTTTATAAGTGCATAAACCTTTAGAGTGCTCATGCTGAATACAGAGTGACTGTGGATATGAAATTTACTTTTGTCATCCAAACAATCCAAAGCAATATACAGAGATGGTCTTACCCACTCTTGATTCAACGTTTGGAGGAGCTACAAAAGGAATTTTCTTAAGTGGTGCACTTCATATATTTGTTCAATTTTGGGAACTGAGAGTTATCTTTTCTTGTGAAAGAAAGATAAAGGGAATTGCTCTGCTCTTTGATTCCTGTTTCATTCCAGACTCTGATATGGTCACCCGGATGAAAACCTCTTTGTGTGAGGCTGCTGTTTTGGAGACAAAGGATGATCTCGTGTTATCAGGTATTACAGCAATAGCAGACAGAGCAGGCAATAGAAAAGAGCAGAGAGAGGGTGCAGAGTTTAATCAGAAAATATTATATATTGCTATATATATGTTTATTATGGTATAGGTATTGTAAAGGCCAGAGGATTTCTCTGAAGTGGGATGTCTGATACAGGTTTTGAGAAAGATGTTCAAAACGTAGGCCTGGCTTTGATTCTTACCTTGCCAGGCCAGGCTGGAAATTAAAGTGTTAAAATGTTTACTGTGAAACTTGTTCTTTCAGACTTTCTGAGCTGAAGAGGCACAGGAAATGTTATTTGGCTGAGAAAAAAATTTCACATAACCCAGGAAGGAAATCCTTGCCCTGGGTACCTGGGCATCTTTACTGCTATTGACACCTATAAATATGGGCCATAGAGAATCCCAGGATGAAACTGCAATCCCCAGTGTTTCTTCCATGCATGATGACAGTGAGGGACCTGTGAACTTCTCTTAGCTCCTTTGTTATTCCAGGGTTTGCTCTTTTATGAAGTCATGTATGGGTCAACAATAATTTGTAGGAAGTTACTGGAGTTCGTTTGGGCCTTCACCACCATAATCCTAAGAGAAAATGAGCAGTGGAGTTGGCTGAGAGCACCTTGATTCATTTTTAATGAATTATATAATCTTTGCTGAGGAGTCTTGATGAATGTCTGAGAACATGATTTAATATGTGCAAAATCCTAAAAGGAAGTGAATTGCTGGTTTTGCTTGTAGAATTAGAAAGGAAACTGAACTAATTAAAAAAAAAAAACAAAACCGCCCATTTATGTAGCAGTGCTCCTATATAGTTAGGGATATTTTAAAGTCTAGACTTAACCAGAGAGAAGAAAAAAATGCACTTACTATGGTGGTTGAAATTATCTTGCATTTACCTGCCAAGGCATGAGTGCAGCCCTCAGGGTTCTTCAGTTACCTTGCTGGGGCTGATGATATCATTAAAACTTGCAGTTATGCAAGGAATGCTGTTTTTACCTCCATCCCTAAATCTTAGTCTTGACACCATCTGTTTAAGAGAAACTGAAGGTTGAAGTTATGACTTGAGAGGTAGCAGGAATTATAGGCTACCTTGTTTAGGAAGTCATGAATACATCTGGGAAAATGTCTACAGAGCTATTATCACTTGATAATAATTTGAAAAGCACAGGGTAACATATCTAGTTTCTGATAGAAAATTCAAAGCTACAGTGCACTTTCAGCATGTCAGTAGGTGCTTCAGCACTTCAGCAATCATCAGCATGTCTTTACTTCTCCTTGTTTTCATTATTGTCTGATTTTTTCATTGCATGTAAGATTAAGTAACACACTGTTGCACAATTTTGGGTCTGGGGATGAGACCTGCTGATGACATTTGATAAATAAGAAAGTGTTTATGAAGAAATTTGTAGGAGATCAGTGAGGAGTGTCCATTTCTTTTAATACTGGACCCTTATTTAAGGGGATAAATTTGGAAAGAAGAAAATAGCTGTGATTGATTGTTTCAGAGGGAGCTCAGGAGATATAAATCATTGCATACATGTCTCAAGGTCACAGGCAGGTGACAGAAATGAGTTATTTAATGTGGTCTGTGGGAGCATAAATTCAGAAAAATGAGCTTAAATGACTGAAATAGGTATTAAGCTTGTCAAGAAAACTTTTAAGACTAAGAGGTGTAAAAGCTTCTCAAGGGAATATAAGGGAACTACTGCATTTTGAATGAACAAACCTACATCAGTTAAGGAATTGAAAGCATCCTCTGAATCTTCATACTTACAGCCTCTGAATTCTCATATTTCACTGTTGTGATATTGTGTTCCATGACAGAGTAGAGCGAACCCTCTAATTTCTGGAATTTTTGTCTAGTTTTTGGGTGTTGGAAATATCCAATTGGAAATATCTGTCAGTGCTATTTTTTGCAGTGCACTACAGGAGAATCACTGTGGGTGGACAATGCTGTTATTAAAAGCAGGCTTTGGTGTATTCTAGCCCTAAAAAGTGATTGCAGCTGTTTTACTGTGAAAGGCAGAATTTTATATATAAATAAATTTAATTAATTCCAGATCATAGTTAATTTTTTTTGTGGCATTCTTTGTTTATTTGTATCTCAGATTCCACAAAGGATCTTTTCTACCTAATGGACAACAGCCAGATACAAAGTGACCAGAACTATTCCCTCCCTTACCAGCAGTATTGGGTCTTCAGGCAGAAGTACTCAGCTGAGGAAGCTCTGCTTTGGTGTCTCACACGTAAGACATCATGGAGACTCTAATTCTGTAGAGAAGAATAACTAACTAAAATCTTTTAATAGGTGATGTAATAATGATGAGTACAAACTTTAGACTTTGAGATTTTTTTGTAGACAACTCCTAAAATTTTCATGGAAATTGCCAATGGAGCCACCTGTTTCTTGAAGTCTTTGCCTGCCATGGCAGAAGGGATGCCCACAATTCACCAGCCGGGTGCCCCTGTCATGAGCAAGAGAATTCAAAGGTACAGCCTGGGCAATGCCCTGCTGTTCTTGAAGTGTACCACTCCAAAGAGAGATGGCAATAGTGGTAAAAGAAGGTAAAATGCAGATAATTTGGGCTAATGATAAATTACATCTTGACGCAGTAAAGGGAGAAGAATTTCTAGCTCTATCAGGAAGTCAGAACTAAGAGTACTAAACAGTGCACAAACATCACTGTAAGAGGTCAGTAGAGCTTTTCCTCTTTAAAATTCAGCATTGACACACATGTTTACAGGAGCCATTGCCATGGCAATTAAGAAATGACTTTGACAGCTTTGGTTCTTTTCTGAAGGTGTGCTCTTACCCCGGGACAAACTTCAGAATAAATTGCTACAAGCAAATGTCTTGAACAGTTGATTCTGGGAAAGTTACGTTTAATTTTGTGTGATGCTTGAATGCTTCAGAAATATTTTTTGTAAAAACTTACTAAGACATTGTAAACATTATTGTCCTTTTTAGTTGTCAGAGACCATGACTGATGCAGAGTTCTCTTGTGGTTATAAAATTTGTATGTCAGATTTACTAAAAAAGAAAGAGATCTTTCTGAATTAAAATATTAAAGAGAGACCAATACACTGGAGTAATGCTTGTCACAGCTGGGGAATTTTTCTTCCCAATTAGCTGTGCTGTAACTCCTCTACTATGCTTTCCAGGTAAACCTGCTCTTCAGTGCCACTAGAGCCAGAATGTCTCCCTCTTTCTTTTGCATTTTTAATTAATTAAATTAATTAATTTGCACGATTAGTAGGATAATATTGAAATTCTCACTTTTAGTTGTATGCTGATGAATAGCTTTGCTCTGAAAACATGAAGAGGAAAGGGAAGGGAACCCTCCTGTGTGTAACTGTTAATGACTTTTCTTCCTAGGCTGTGCAGAAGAGGAAGAGTTTTGTCGAATGGCAGATCTGCAAAATGCCACAGACAAATACTTTGTGTGTACCCTCTATCCAGAGGCACAGATTTGTGACAGCAGCCTCGACCAAATACCAGGAAACTGTGCAACTGTGCTACCCTGGCAACCACAGACACTGTTCCATAAAATAGGCAAGTTTTGGTCTTTGCATAGACAATGCCTGCTCTAACCCTGGTAATGCAAGCCAGTGTTTTTCCTCCTGGCTCTGAGATAAAAGGTCTGCATGTACGAATGAGTCTTGGGATGTGATGGTGCAAGGGCAGTTCAGGCTGTCTGGGATACGGTTTTTAATTTTCAGTTCAGAATGGGAAGATATTAACAAGGAATTTCACTCTGTCCACCTCAGCCATTCCTACGTCAGAGAGGCCAAGTGGATCTCAAATTTGTATATCAGCTTTTGGCCCTTTTTATACTGTGGGTGAAATAGGAACACCATTGTAATGTCAGAATCTAAAATTTCTATAGTGGCTAAATGATGCAAAAATTGAAAGCACTGAGTGCAATTTTAATTTTTTAAAATTATTTTTTTTAGGAAATGCAGAGCTATAGACATGAATTTTAACCTTGGCTCTTTGAATACTTGCGAAGTTCAAAGTTTTTCTCCTAGGGCACATGTAAGGAAGCTGGACAAACAAGCCTGTTTTCACTGTACAGGAACATGTAATTTTGCTGTAACAAATATAAAGGTCCACTGAACTGAGCTATTAAATCATGTCATTTTGGGGAGCCCAAAGGGCAGCAGGGGCATGAGGACCCTGGAGTCTTCCAATCTGGATTTGTATTCCAGTTTAAGGCCTTGTAGAAGAATTAGCATCAATACAGGTCTCAGAAATAAAGAGCCTGGCTGGAAGTCTTTCCTTGGTGATGGAATTTGATAAGCTTTCAGAGCCTTCACTTTGAGAATTTTTATTCATCTTCAGGCTTAACTATCCAAATTTTGCTGTGATTACATAAAACGATCTCTTAATCCACCAGAACTCAGCACAAAGGCATAGACTGGACCCCTACCATTTGATTACTTCACCAGTATTTGTATACGACAAAATGAAACTAATTTTTCCAATTTTATTTTTTTTTCCCTTCTAGTCACTCTTAAAAGTTCTGTGAAGAGCTTCTACACACGTGTACCATTCCAGAAAGTAACAGAATTCTCAGTGAGGAATAAGACTGACATGAGCAGAAAAGCTGTTTCAGATGGGTAGGATATGAATGTTCCTTTGTTCTCCCTGGAATTTTACCCATGTCTGGAATTCCATGGCCGTGTTATGCAGATAAAGGAAATCAGAAATATAATCCAAGAATTGTATTGTTTGAGAGTATTTAATGAAGTAAAGACAACATATGGTTTAAAGGAGATTTATAATTGAGTTATAAATAATAATCTATACAATTATTCATGACAGACATGAAAATTGTTACTTATAATGCTACTAATTACTAGTTGGTCAGTTAAATCTCTCAGCAATGATACAGCAAATCAATTTAGGCTGATATTTTTAGGGCAGATATCAAAATAATAATCTGAATTAATAGATGTAGTCTGGCAGGTGTATACTAACCAAGCATAATTTCATCTACATAAAGAAAATATATGGAAGTGTGCATGCATACTGGTTCTTCAGCCTTATTGTGAAAGGCATCTCCACAGGTTTTCAGTGTCTAATATGTGTAATGATACCATGGATAATGTTTTTCCTTCCCTAGGTTTTTTGAGTGTGAGCGTTGGTGTGATGCTGACCCCTGTTGCACAGGATTTGGCTTTTTTAATGACTCCCAGCTGTCAGGTATTTCCCCCATGTTTTTATTTTTAAAATAACTTCAGCCTTCCTTTGTTATCCAAATTTTACTCTTCTTTTGCTCTGAAGTGCACTTTAAAGGCACTTTCAGATCTCATGCACCTCCTTCAGCACCTTTTCAAGTAACCATAACCATTTCTAGTTCAGCCCAATGACACATTCCACATTTCATATATTATTAAGAAAACTTCATGAGAATGAGTCCTGAAGAGGCTGCAGTTCCAACTGCATAAAATTCAAACTTATAAAACTCCAGTTTTTTCTCATCCATCAACCTCTCTTCAAAAGCGTTGCTTGACTTCTTTTAGCAATTTTTTCCCCTTTTATGTTGTTTCATTTTTTAAAGTCTAAAGGACTCTGAAACCTAAATATTACTGAAATTAGATTTATGCAAGCACATAATGTCTGTGGATACTCTGGGGAAGTTTAGCCTTTTGGTTTTCTTGGTTGTCTGACCTTCTCTGCTCCCAAATTTTAGTCTTCTGCTTGAGGAAGAAAGTCTCCAGTTGGTGTTTAAAATTGGATATCACCCAGCTCAAATTCAACAAAATAGATTTTAATATGTTATTACAAATTCAGATTTACTGAAATGTGTAACTTTGTTTCTGGTGGAATCATGTGCTAATCAACTCTCCTTGAGGTCATTGGGATGTGCTGTTTTTATAATGCATTTTGGAATTTGAAACACTTCAGAGATACCAATTTTTAATTCCTTTTTTTTGTTGAGCAGACAAAATTTTCGCTTAGTCAAAAATTAGTAGCTTAGAAAATTAATCCAGTATAGTTTAGATAAGAATTAATGTGCAAATAAAAAATAGTTGACAGTTTTCATACCTTCTTTTGATCATATGAAATTTGAAGTCTTAATTGAATATGACTTTGAGTTTCTTTAAATACTTCTAAAATAAATTAAAAAATGTAAGGCACCCAACATGCAAAATGGACTCATTTTTAGTTTATCTGATTAATATTTAATATCTATGACATTTCAGACATCCAGGCTTGGAATTCATATAGTCAAGAGAACTTTCAGCAGTGATTTTAACATGAGCTGAAATCTTCAATGAAACTGTGTTTCAAACCCTCCTTATTTTTCAGGAACAAAATTATTTGCACTTAGGCTTTGAAATAATTTTTATCTTGATGTAAGCAGGGGACATGTTTTGACATACATGCCAATTTTTAATTACATTAACGTGAAAGGGCTGCTTGCTCAAAGAGTCCTGGCCTTTGCTCAGTGAAATTCTCTGTGACTTTGAATTATAATGGATTTTAATGCTGTTACCCATCTTCCCTCACATTGAATTCAATTGGATTTTTCAGCACTAGTTTCAATCCCTTGGCTCATTTCAGGTATTTCCTTCGACTTCTAAGTCAGAATGTTGTGTTCTTTTTTCTCACAACACTGTCTAGAAAAGGAAAATTTTCCTCCTTATTTCTATAACCACGTGCATCCTTGGCAGGTGGAAAGATTGTGTGTGTGACTCTGAACAGCCTTGGAATCCAGACATGTGCTGAGGAAACGAGAAGTGCTTGGCACATTTCAAATTGCAGTTCACCAGATGCTGAAGTGAAAATACACCCATTTGGCTGGTATCAAAAGCCTGGTAAGTGATGCAGGAGACATGACCTTTCTAATGGGTTTCTGCACATTGAGGTATAAAAATGCCAGCTTCCAGCTGTAGGACCCATTTGAAAGAACCACAAATAGATAAGGCAAACAAGTATGTGCAAAAGAGAGAAAGGTGCCATTTAATATCCATTTTCATAGCAAAGGAATAGCAATACCTCAATGATATATAATTTAATTTCTTAGATTCTATCAGGAACTTGTGGCAAATGTCAGCATTCAAATATATTTTGCCTCACTGTGCAGTCCTTGTCAGGAAATCATTCTTTGCTTCTCACTCCTGGGCTTATGGTGTTACCATCCATGTGGATGCATAACCTCAAAAAGTTTGGTTTGCTACAGAATTTAAAATTCACTTTTGGTTGTTTTGGTAAAGAAAGGACCAAGACCAAATTCCAAAGTAGGCCTGTATTTTTCAAGTAGTAAGAATCCATCAGGTGTTCAAACACAAGAGCAGTTATGAGATGTTGCGTTGTTTCTTTGGAGGAATCAAAACCACTCCTGGTCAAGATGGATTTTATTTTCTGTGGAGAAACAAAAGCTTCATTGCTTTGTTGAAAACTTTAAATGGGCTTGCCATTTGTCAAACTCCTTTTGGGCAGGTCTAGTTCTGCTTTGTTAAGCTCTGATTTCACATAACTGAAAGAATAAGGAAAACAATTCCCTGCCTGAGCTTGTCTCCCTTTATGAGAGGACAGCCTGTTTCTTGGTCACACAGGCATGACATCAGAGCAGAGAGCCCCCATTGGGGCAGATCTGGTGATGTTTTGGGGAATTTTGGGAATGATTTTGAATAAGGAATACTTTTTTCTGCTTTTATACTCCCATAGTTCTTGCTGAGTAGAGGAGGGCTGATAGCTGAGAGGAGAGGGGAGCACAAAGCATGGATGTATATTGTCCAGAGAATGAGATAGAAAGATAGAAAGATATCGTGGCAATACAGTATACAGTGTTGATAAATAAAACCTTCATTCACACACTAAGTGTCTGAAATATGAACTCAGTGTTGAGCTTTTCAAGACTTGCACTCTCCCTGTGCCCACAGGGGAAGCTGAGATACAGACAGGGCTATGAGTGAAGAAGAGAAGAAAGGTGGAGTGAAGAGGGGACAGCAGAGGTGGAGATACACTTCCACTTCTTGGATTGTTTTCCCCTTGTTGGCGAAGAACCAACAAAAAATAAAAGCTGTTTCTCACGTGACAGAGAGAGGGATGATGAAGAGGAGCCTGGGGTGTATGCAAAGTAGGGAATGTTAAGAGAGACAGTGACATTTCCTTATGCATCAAGGGAGCTACAGATATGTTTCCACCGTAACACACAGCAAGGCACAGATGTTTATGCAAATGAAGATATTTACAGACAAAAATTTGTATAGGTTGTGCTGTTGTGTTGAAGGTCTGGGAATCAGGAAAAGGAACAAAAAGGTTCTGAGGCTAAAAAGGGAAATGAGTAAAATCTGAAGGAGTGACTTATTGTAGGCAGTGGGATATTAGCATGACACAGGGTCTCTGGCTTATTCCACAGTTTTGTTTGAGGAAGGCACTTCTGTGTTTCATAGCAGGCTAAGGTCATGTGTGAGCTGTTTGCTGCACAGCTCTGCTCATGAGCAATTTGATTTTGTATAGTCAGAGCTGCAGCTCAGTCAAAAAGGAACACAGAGTAGCATTTCAAAGAGTTTTGGATAGGCCCAATCCTTCACTGCTGTGATTGGAAAAACTTCTGAGTTTTTAGAAACATCTTTCAGTCACATGCATGGGAAATACATACTGGAAGTAGTTAACAGAAAATCTGATCTGTCTTCATCTTCTGTAGGCGTGGTCATTTATTATGTCTTAGTGGAGAATTTATAACTGTTTTGACTAGCTAAAGTGTTTTACAAAATATGAACGCACAGGGGAAACTTCATTTTTATTATTTGTGGTTACAAAATATTTATGGGAAGTATTAGCAAATGAGAAGCTTTTTGTACGGAAGTGAATATGAAGTTCCGTGTATGATGAATTCTTATTTGAGCTTCAATTTGGAATGTGTTGTGCTGGAAAATGTTTTGTTTCTAATTTGTATTTCTGAGAAATTCCAGTTTGCTGGAAGCAGAGAGAATCTCATGTCTCTCCTGATGCAGAAACCTGAATAGAGAGAGGGGCATAGAAAAAACCACAGAAATACTGAAATGAGTTTTCATAACTGCATCTCAAAAAGTGGTTGTAAAAATATTTATAAATACAGAAAATTAGGGAAGTCTGGTTTCATGTACAAGCTCAAGAGGATTAGACAGCAAAGCAGCCTTTTCTCTTTACTCTTGGTGTTTGTGGGGAGAAGATGCAACATCCAGATCCGAGATGTAATGCTGGAAATATTGAGTATCAATTGCGTTTTAAACTTTCAAGTATTATTGTTTTCAACTGTTTTGGTTTTCTTCTGCTTTTAGCTGACTTGAAGAGCACCATTCCCAACCTGTGTCCACCTGTTAGTTTACCTCTCAGGCCAGAAAATGGTAAGTGTATTTATGAATTGAACCAAAACCAAACCGTTCAAACCACCTCCACACCAAAAAAAAAAAAAAAAAGGGAGCAGTAAAAAATCCTCTCATCCTCTATTTTGTACATATTGCTGAAAGATAACACTATAATGAAAGTGTCCCCATGAGGTTACTCATTTAGGTGTTTAGTAATTTTCATTAATTGTATTATTTAAATGAAAGAACTGTCATGTCCATAATGCTGACCTAATTTCTCACACTCTCTGCCTCATGAGGTCACTGAGGCAAGATATTTGGCAGGACTGATGAAAAAATTTATTTATGAGTGTGGATGTTGCATCACTTTCCAGATACAATGAATCTTATGGTAATATCACATGCGTTATTTTAAAAGTGGGTGGATCTTTTTAGTAAATGAAACTTAACTGCTGTCATTCAGGGTTTTGTGTCTAACGACCCCTGACAGTACATGCAAATTGTCAGCAGCTACAGGCTTCCCTGAAGTGTCCTTTCCAGAAATAGCTATGAAATGCTGTGTGTAACAGAAAGGAAGAGGGTGGACTGGTTATTAGAAAACTCAATTTAACCCTCTAATTATACTAAAATTGAGAAGTCACTTCCATCTCTGCCTTTGATTTTCTTTTTGATCTGAACAAATATTTAATCTGATTGAATCTGTCGTTCTTTAAACAATATGCAATTGAGCATGCAGGAGACTTGATATTTGCAAAGAATTTTCAATACTCTGTTCAGAATTTATTATATCTGTATTATAATCATATCCATAACCACCAGTAATGATCAAGTTTGGTGTATTTTTAGTAGAATTTTTGCTTTTTAAATGATCATTCTAATGCAATAGAAGGGAAAATATCTTTGTAGGTAAGCAGAAATAATTTTTATGTGAAACACTTTGAGGAGGTGGTGGGGTAGGCCTGGCATGTAGGTTGGGCAATTCAACTCCTTTGCAAACTGTTTTCCTATGGGATGTGGAAAACAACTTCACTAAAGCTTTCTTCCTCCCAGAGTGAAGCTCGGTAGTAATTTTGTAATTTTCTTTTTATATTTTTCTTGGTTGCTTAAATTAGGAAAACAGTGACCTAAGCAGCATTTAAGAAAATCAGGGAATTAGATCTTTCTGCTGTTTGCTTTCGAACTAAAGGCTGCCCAGAACAGTAGTCCCAGCAAGTGAGGTGCTCATCTTTTGTAAGAGCCCTGATCTGTCACACCCATTCCCAGGCCATCTTTCCAAACTCAGAGCACCTAGGGATGTCTCTGGTTTGCAGAGATCTGGTTAAGCAGCCCAAGCAAGCAGAGCATCCCACAAGGATGCAGAATTCTGGGTTGGAGTGGTTGTCCTGGGAACTGACAGTGGTTAGGAGAAGTCACTCAATTACAGAGCACAGCAAGGCTGGAAGTCAAATTAGCACTGGTTTCCTGGACACTTTGGGGCTCTGACACCACTGGAGCAACACAGTCAAAATGCAACTGGACACCATCTGTCCTTATGTTCTGCCTCATTTCGATAGTAAAATACCAGACTGGTTATTTAGATCAGATTATTATCTGGGCTGCGTGGTCAGAGGTTTTAGAAAATTTTCAAAAAATTGTTTCCAAACACTTTATGATTGTGTGTTTAATTAATATGTGCTATAGAGGACTAAATGTTTTAGAGTTGGGCATCACGCAAAAACTAGCATTTACTGAATTTTGTACATTGAGGTAATGCTTTTATAACGGGGATAAAAAATTACTGTGGCTGCTCCGTGGTAACCAGATGGTGAGTGTGAGAAAATGTCACTATTTAAAGGGCACTGCCATGAGTAGATATGTGTGTGTGTGAACGTAAGCATATCTACACATATAAAAAATATAATTTTTCCATCGAAAGATCAGAAAAATACTTAAATTTGCATACTTTGCCAGAAGGCTCTGCAAAATCATGAAGTTCATTTTATGTCCAATCTAGAGCCTGAGTTAACTGGAGCTCTATTAAGGCCTACATTTCATCAGAAGTTAATGCTTTGACTGCCTCATTTCCTAGTCAGCCAGTTTGCAGTGCTCAGGATGGAGTGCCCAGCACTTTGCTTTCTCCCATTTGCAGTCAGGATGCTGCTCCATTCAAAATCTGTGGTGTTTGCAGCCCCAATGGGTTGTGAAGAAGCCCAGATGAGCAGATTTATTTTCAGCCTGGTGGGAAGTAGATGCTTTGCCTGTTTTGCTCATTGTTCTTCTCAGCAGAGAGGGTAGAGGCATTGTAGGACCATAAAACAACAGAAAGATCTCAACAGGAAGCCTTTTTACAAGTACCTGGATAGCAAAAGGAAGGGTAGGGAAAATGTGGGGCTGCTGAATGGGACAGGAGACCTGATGACAAAGGAAATGGAAAAGGACAAGGTGCCTTCTTCACCTCAGTCTTTGCTGGCAAGTCCAGCCTTCAGGATATCCAGACCAGGAGGAAGACTGCAGCAAGGAAGTTTTAGCTTTAGAGAAGGAGGATCAGGTCAGGGACCAAGCTGGAAATATAAATCCAGGAATGCAGAGGGAGCTGGTTAATGCCATTCTGAAGCCACTCTCAAATACCTTTGAAAGTGATGGGGGAGGTATTTATTTTTATTCTGTTCCTGGCCTGGGCTTTTGAAGAAATTCATCAGCAGTAATCACCATAAAATGCCTAGACCTTTGAATCTGCAATGACAAAAATAATTTTCAGGAGGAACTTCTTTTCATGTCTAGTCATATAACAGCCTTCAGCCACTAGGGAGATGCAGAAAAATACCCTCCCCTATGTAAGGCAAATCCTGGGAGAGACACAGCAAAAGGAGAGTGTCAGGGCTCTTCCTGTTCTTTGTCTTGTACCAGAATGTTCATCCAGCAGCCCATTGCAACCCTGTGATTCCTCCAGTGGGCTTTTCCCAAATTATTGCCCTTATAAGCAACACTGCTGTGTGTTTCTAACGTTCACTAGATACCCCATTAGCCTGTGGAAAAGGGGAATTATTTCTCTGTAGTGCCTGTAGCCCACTACTCTCTAGCAGGAGGGAGGTGAACTGCACAATGTCTTTTACCTGAATCCTCATTGATTTGTTGCTGCTTTAGCAAGTTTTGCCTACTTGCAAAAGCCTTTCTGCTGCAAGGCTAAAGTCTCCAAGTCATCTCCAGTTGTAGTGTGTTTACCTGAATGTGTGGTTTTCATATTTAACTGAATGAATACTTCCATTTACTTCTGTACATCTACTGCATGGAGCAGAGCATGCTCCTGCTGGTCTGTTGTGATTTCCACATGGTTTCTGTGATCTGAGAAGTGGTGCTTGAAAAACTGATAGCCTGAACTGACTGGGAAAGTCTGACTTGTTATGTTTGGAGCATTTTTCCCCTGTAGAAGTTCATGTGCTGTGATGTCACTGAGTATGGAACCATCTGTGGGGAGTTTCAGGTACAATCTGTGACCTTTAACCGTGGGAGAACAGATGTTATTTTAAGACTGCCCATGCTGAAAATGCTCATATGTCATCCTGCAGTCTTGGTTTACTTAGGCTGGTATTTAAATAACAAATCTGCTCAGTTGTGTGAATGTGGTAGACTGTCTTATAAAGAGAAAACAGCCAGGTCTCGTAACTAGGTGTGAGATGGAACTTTCTGCAGCCAGCTAGGGGAGATAAGAAAATGTTTTTTTAAATGATATAATTTTGTTTTGTTATTTTACAAATATGCAATGCTGTTACTCAAACAGTTCATGCACAAAGGTTTGAGTATGGGAAATTTTTATGTGTTTGCAAATTAGTCTGAAAGAAGCAAAACAATCTATGAGACATATTACCTGAATTTATAGAAGAAATACTTGTGCTTAAAGCAGACTGGAGAGAGTGACAATACTCTTGTGTGTGTGGGAGGAGCAACCCTGATGACTTTTGACTTTGTTACGGGACTTATTAATTGTATGCAGTAATTACCTAAACTTTAATAAATATTATTGTCTTCAGTTCTAACTAGAACATGTCTGTTTATTTTAGATTTGGCAGCTGTTAGGAGGCAGTGGCTCTTCCAGGGTGGTTCCTGCATGGCCCTGTGGATTACATACATTTGGACTCCATGCAAATTGAGTGTTGGATCCCAGAAATCTGGGGTTTTTAAGCTTTCTGTGCTTTCTGGCACAGACCCCCTGGAAAACACTGCTTTTGATCTGAAGCCTAGGAGATGGCTTCTAAATATGAGTGATGAAATAAAAGTCACGAGTGTGACAAGTGTGACAAGTGTGTAGTGAATTAGAAGTGTGTGCTTTCACAGGGTGATGAGTTTTAAATTTGGGGTTTTTATAGCACAGTAATAGGTATGGGACAACATGGAGGTTTTTGGGCGTTGTCTCCTTTTTTGTTCATCTCTCTTCTTGGTTTTCAGGTAGTAGGTTCTGTTTGGTCAGTCAGTGTCACTCTAAGGGTCATGGAAATCTAGCTGTTGGGCCAAAAATATAAATAATTTGTGGGTAGTGGCAATTGAGTAATTAATTGAAAAAACCACTGAAGCATGTGGATGTAATGATCTGTTAGACCCTTCCTGTTCCTGCCTCCTATGATCCTCTACTGATTTATAGTCATTCCCTTGAGGCAGGACTGAGCAGAGCAGTGGCTACAGGATATTCCAACATGGGAATAAATTTCCCACCGGGCACATGGGGCATTTCCATTCTCGAGAGAGATGCTGATGGCAGTACAAGTGCTGATGTAGCTGGCTGTGGTGATTAATGATATAATTTATATTCCTGTTTCCCACAATGCTGAGTATTTGTCAGAGATATCCTTAGTGTGAAACAAAGCCTTATTTTATCCATTTTTGGGAACTGTTTTACCATGCTTTCACACAGCGAATTTATCTCTGAGGTGGAATTACTCTGTCTTTGGTCTTAAGTTTGATTTTTATTGTTTGTAAATATGAGGATTTTAACCTTTTGGAAACAGCTTATTTTAAACCTGGATAAATGCCTAGTACATTTTTTATATCCCCTTACTATATCATTTGCTATAATTGACACCCCTGAAGTAGACTGAAATCTTGTATTTAACAGGGCCATAGTGAGATTGCTCCCTGCTAAAGGCCATAAATACTCAGCTGTTATTTTTGAGACTTGTCTGAGGTGTGATTACAGTTATTATGCAGCAGTTTAAAGAAAATCACTCATTTTGAATTATATAAATCTCAATGGATTAACAAAAATGAGAAGTAGTTATATTTTAGGAAGAGTATATTTTCTGAAGGTCCACTCTGAGTTGATGATTTGCTGACTTTGAAGATTGTTGGTATACATACAGGTTAGCAGTCTGTTGAAAAAAACCTCTGAAAATTAGGATTATAAAGCAGTGAGTTCAGTCTGTAAACATGTTTTGTGTTTGAGTCAGGGCTACTAAATACTAAATTTCAGAATTAAGATCAGTATTTGTCTTTCAAACCTAGATCAGGCATACTGAACCCAGAGGTCTGATTTATGGATCTCCTAAACCTCATATTGACCTCCTCAACTTCACAAGTTTTCTTTTAAATTTAACTTGTTATTTTAATGCACTTCTGTATCTCTGTTTCCTTATATCAAGTTTTAAATTTTGCAGCAAACTCATAATTGCTGCCTCTTTTCTTCCACTGAAGTCAGTGATGAAACTTTTGTTGACTTTATGGCAAGTATTTTATAATCTCATTGCCAGGAAATCTATTCAAGTCTTGTGATCTTGTGACTGGAGTGGGAACAGAGTAAGGCCAGTCTGAGTCTTTTTGCAAATCCAATCTTAAACCTTGCCTACCCAAACAAGAACATCTGGAAGAGAGAGGCTCTCTATATGGGACATCTATAATTTTGCAATAAGAGTTACAGGGATGGCTGGATTCAGAGGGCTGTAATTATACAATGAAAGCCTTTGCCAAAATGTGGGTTGGAAGGTCAGTTCTTAACCTATATATAAATCAGAAATGTCTTCCAGCCCATCAGGTGCACTGTGCATTGCCAGCAGCACAGGGCCAGTCTTAGCTCTGCCTTGTGAGAGCAGTTTCTGCATGAGGCAAGTTTAGATCAGCCATGGAAAGTTGTGTTTTGCTCATGGAATGAAGTGGGTGTGCATGGCTGTGGTCACTGCTGGATCTGCTTTCAGAAGGGAAGAACCAACTAATATCCAAAATCCTTTTAGCAGCTTAGTGCTGGCTGTCGATGTCCACAGTGGTGCTATGCATGGCTCTGGGTTAAAGAGTTAAAATAATCATTAATGCTTCTGCACCTCTCTGCATCTGGGGCCAGCTGGGCAGAAAAAGGAAAAAGGAAAAAACTGGGAGTCTCAGCATTTACTTCTGACTTGAGGTCATGAATGCTTCATCCAGGATGGAGGATGAAAAAAACAACCAAACCCCCAACCCATCCCAAAGAACCTCCCACGTGGGAGGTGGCAAGGGTCACTTCTGTGAGATTTGGGGAAAAATGATCAGTTTAGATAGGAATGTATGAGCTGTGGAGGTTTGCATCATGAGTGATCTCTCTGCCATGCCTAGCACAGGCTGCAAAGTGCCCAGTGTGCCTCGTGGGTATATAAACAGTATGCTCCTGACTTGACTCTATCCCACATAAAGGGATAAAATAAATCTCTAATGTAGAAGTACTTTAGCTTGTGAAATAAGTATGGAGGCAAAATTCAAGTGGCAGAGGTGTGAAGAGAGCAAGGACCTCTCTGAATGTTTGCCTGTGGGAATGGAGACAAATGAGGATGATGAGACTTGCCCGAGGTCACTTGGTGAGTCAGGGAAACTATGGAAAGAGGGTCTGGGGAAATTTCTTCCAAAACCACTGGTGAACCCAGACTTTTTGTGTTACAGTGGAATCCAGACAAGATTCTCTTTTGAAAGAACCACAGCTGGTAATTTGAAGCTTTGTATTTGAACCTAGAGAGATTTTGCTTGTTCCAGTAGTACTCAGCTGCTGGTACTGTAGACAGCACAGGATGGCAATATTGGTCTTAGGTAAAAACAAATTTTGAGCCATATTGATAAAAGAAATTTTCTTGTTCTTTAGAAAAAACAAAAAACAAAACAAAATAAAAAACAAACAAAGAAAAAAACCCCAAATAAACCAAAAACATAAAACAAAACAAAAAAACCCACAAACTGAAAATATAAATTGGTAAGATTCAATCTGCAAAAGAAAGACCTAGGGAATCTAATAATGCAGGCAGAAAATCTCTGGAGAGGATGTAATGGTTAATTCTCCATCACTTAAAATTGATGTCTATTTTTAAGTATCTTTCTTAAGAAGTGCCACAAACTGTCACCCTAGATACAGAGCCTGAAGTTTTCTAACATAGGTCATGAAACAGCTCATAGTAGATGTTTTTAAAAGAGAGAATCCATTGATAATATTAAAAATAGTAATTTCCGCATGGCTAAAATCACTCTTTTCCTCTAAAATAATTGAATCATCAGTCCTTAAAGGGAAAAAAAAATCCAGTGCAGCGAGTCTGTTACACAAGTCAAGCTGTGACTGCAGGGTCACTGTTCCTGACTAATTCAGATCCCCTCTGAATGCAGCACTGGTGATGACTTTGCCTCTCTGTGACTCAAGTAAGCTTGGGGTGTTAACATAAAACTGCAACACCAAATTAACCTTCATTTCTACTTAGCTGGAGACTTTCAGCCTCTCTCTCTTAGAAAAGTTGCTCACAACTATAAGAGGAATGGAATGATTTTAGTTGTAAAGGACCTGTGGAGCCCAGTCTTACTTCCTTGCCTCTAGTTCAAAACCTGAACTTTTTGAAGTTCCATGGAATACAGAAGGCCAGTTCATCACTGTGCATCCATCAGATGCTTTCTTCAGCAAGGGGGATGGCAAAGGAACCAAGCGCTAACATAACAACTTGGTAATGGTGGTAGCACATCAGTTCTTATCAACTTGTCCTTCGTGAGATAACTCATGCTTAAGGTTTACACTTCCTAGGGAAAGATTAACCCTGCAGAAGAAAAGAGTTTTTGCATCATTGTAGAGTCCTGAATTGTGGCAGTTACTCTGTGTTGTCGTGAATTATACAATAGTTATGAAATCGAATTTAGCCACTGCTATTCCCTGCCTATTTGCTCAAGGAAGGATGCAACCAGCCTTGTCTGTGGTGTGTTTGGGTCTTGAGTTTTCATCAACTGGACAAGAGTGTCAACACCAGGACTTTCAAGTTGATTGTAGGGACCCCAGACCTCAGCCTCAGGTCTGATGTTGAATGCTGTGGTCAAACTGTCTTTCTATGAGAAGGGGAAAAGGAAACTTTGGCCATCTTTGACAGATTTCTCAGTAGAATAGAAGAAATGTTTAATGAAATGACGGGTCATGACTTTTGCATCTGTGTGGGTCAGTGAACTCAAGGGCAAGACATTCCTGCTCACTAGGAATAGCAAAGGAACAGCTGACTTTGCTCTGTCCTCACCCTACAATTACATGGACAGGGCAACACCAACCTGCTGTTTAGGATTCAGTGGTCACAGCAGGGCCTTTTGCTTTTAAGACATATTGCACTTCTGAAAGGATCTAAAATAATTAAAGGCCTGTTCTGTCCAAATCCTTCTTTTTTTTGTCTTCTGTGTGCAAAACTGAGAGTTCTCAGATATTTTTGTCTGTTTGTGTATGAGAAAAGAATGTTTGTGGTATTTTTTTTAAATATAGTTTGAGACAGAAGAACAATTCTTGAGGAATACTAGAGTTAGTAAATATGTGTATACTCACGCTCACACAAGTGCATGGATGTTAAATGTATATATGGGAATATACATATATGTAATACACATGATTATACTTATACATATGCACATATTTGTGAAATAATTATGCAGAAGTTACATGACATTAAAAGTGTTCATAGAATTTAATATAATTCTGTCCACCAAATCAAGTTAAAATGATCAAATTAACCTCCATTTACTTTCCAATAATTTAGTGTCTGCACCTGTTCAAGAACTTGTGTGCAAGCATTATAACCCATGCCCTTTAATATAATTAGGGCTGTTCAGAAACCTTTTCTTTAAATCAGTTGGATTTACCCCCAAACCTGGATAAAGCTGCTGTGGATTTGCCTATTTCCTTATTAAATACCTTTGTAAACCAATTAATATCTGACCTCTGGACCTTAAAGTCAAAAGCCTTTGAATATTTAATTTATTCTCAGTTTATGGAAAGGAAGGTGACACTTTTTCATTGAGAAACTCCCCAATGCTTTTAACTCTATATTAGTTTTCTCTGAAATTTTTACTGCTCCTTTTAGTCATATTATTTTTTTATGATTCATTTTACAGAGTATATGGATGCATGGCAACCCTTAAATGTGTCGTCTGTTCTCATGGATTCATCCATCTCCAACTTTGAAGTTGTACATGTTAGCAGAGATATATCCAATGACTTCTCCACTGCCAGAGATTTTTGCCTATCTGGTAAGAAATGGTCATTCACAGCTTTACAGAAAATACTGACTTGTGAGCCTGAAAACCAAGAACAGCTTTCCCACTTCTGACATAGATACACTGATTTTACTTGTTTATAAAAACTATCCCAGTGTTTCCTAATCTGAGAGGGGTTCCGAAGTAGTTTAGCTAAAGAAAGATGCAATAGATATAAAATGTTGTAATTAGGTAATTTTACAGCTCTTGGGCACAGAGATCTCTTATTTCTCCAGGCATTGTACAGCTGGGAGAATATTATAGTAAATAATTAAAGCAATGATGTCTTGTTTTTCTAAAGAGCCACTGCCATTTTCTAAACCCACCTGCCATTACCTAAACAACCTGTGGCAGTGATGTGTGAGAGAGGCTTAACTGAGAGCTGGGAGGATTGAGCTGTAGTAATAGCAAAAAGAATTGCTTTAATCTACAGCCTGACTAGACAGAAAAGAATCCTTTAATTTCACATGACTGGGAAATCCTCAATGCCACAGAGTGGTAGAAATAAGGGAAAGTTTCCACTTACTCACTGGGGAGTGTTGGAATTCAGATGAGGTTATCAGCACTTCACTAGATGATGTTTTTCTCCTTTTAAACCCTGTGATAATAGTTCTTTTGCTTCATTATTCAATTTTAAAGCCAATATAATCTTCGATCCTTTGTCTCTTTGGAGAATGTTCTGGGCATTTGAGGACATTTATGTCCCATTACTCTGAATTACATCATATCCTTGTTGCTTCACCTGTTGTAAAACCTTTCTTTTAAAAATAGTGTAACAATGTCATGCAAAATACTTTGAGACACATTTTTACATGCTCCTTTTCTTCATGCTTCACCTCACAGCTTGCTCAAAAAACCAGTCATGTACAGTGGTTACACTGGAATTCCAGCCTTCAGCCATAAGGTGCATTTTCTACCCTGATACACAGATATGCACACACAGCCTGCAAGGGCACAGCTGCTGGGTTTTACTCAAAGAACCTGCTGCCTATATCTACAGGAGACAAGGTAAGAACACGTTAAAGCTGTGGAGGAATTGTGCACAATTTTGTGAATGCAGGACTGAGGAATTCCTCACCTCCCAAAGCAATATGGATTCTCCTAGACACTTGTCCATGGCTGTTTCAGAGGAGTTACAGCCAAGAGGATGAGAAAAATGTCCCCAAATACTATTTTAAAAATGCATGAAATTGTAGTGTTACCCTCTGCTGTTGAAGCAGGCAAAACAGAGGAAGTCTAATTTATGAAAGATATTTTGAAAGTGCAGATTAGTAAAACCAAACAACAACAGTAATGCAAGTCCAGCTCTTGGCTTTTCATCTGCAGAAGATGCTTTGATATGCTCTTCCTTTTGAGCTTGGAGAATAACACTAGGAGTGTTGAAAAGCCACTGTCAATTGAATGTATTAAGGACAATGTCTAGAGAAAACAAAAAAAAACCAGATAACCCTAAACAGGATGAAATAATATTTTAAAGAAGTGAATATTACTTAAAAGAGAAAAAGAAGTTGTGTAGACAGTGTAGATAAGTAAAAATTCTGTTGTTTGGTTACATATTTATTTGAAAGTGTAAGTTTTATTGGGTTTATTCCCCTTGATTTTTAAAGAGATTGCTTTCTTTTTATGTTATTAAAGGTAATTTTATTTATTAAAGGTAATTAGAACCCAGGTGACAGTAGGGGAGAAGGGAATAAAATTTTTTTTTCACTGAAATTCTGAAATTGTGAAGTCACTTGAGAACCTTCTAGACTGAAACTCAACGAGAGAAAAAGCAGTTTATCATTGCCAAGTAAAATAAAATCAGAAACTGAGACATAAAAGTAGACTTGTGTGTTTATTGTTCATTACATGTTTGGTTTTAGTCCTGTGACTTTGAATTTTGTTCCTGCCTATCAAATACATTTTTAAGGGGAAAAATAGCAGGAGGTGTCACTTAGCTGTGTTTTAATGAACGATTTTATAGGAAAATAGTAACAGCAAACAGTAAATTTATCTATGTTTCATTTAAAGAAGTGGACACTTAACAATTTAAGACTATGGGAAATGGGACTAATTTTAGTTTCTGAAATGGTCCTAACTTGAAAAAACAAATTATTTTTCCTCTGCTCCCCCTCTGATAGATTTACTCCTGCCCATTTCTGAATCGGATTCAACCCCAAGAGTGTACATCCCATCCCACGGATATCTGATGGGCAAATCCCAGGTGATCCACATTGGCTCGGAGTGGAGGAACATCAGCCAGTTCCTGGGGATCCCTTATGCTGCCCCTCCCCTTGGGGAGAGGCGCTTCAGCCCCCCAGAGCCCTTTGCTGGGGTGGAAAGCTGGAATGCCACGGTGGCTCGGTAAGGAACCCCCCTGGGCACCTGCAGGAGTGCTTGTCCAGCCAGGGACAAGGTGGGAGCTGCTGCAGTGGTGACACCAATATTCGTGTATAGATGGATACAGGTCTGAAATTTGATCGGCAAAGGGAATAATTTCTCAGTCTCTATGTTAAAGCATGCAAGCACCTCAAGAGAAAAGGCAAATTCCTGTACACTCCATTGTCTTGAATCTCTGCAGAACTCCCACACCATCTGCTATCAGTCCATTTTCATTCTGAATAGTATTTATACAGGCATTTATTATATTTATACAAATACGTTTTGCTCCTGCTGAGCCATAAATTTGTACACATTTAATCCAAGAAGGGCACTGGTGTAACCAGAATCTGTGGGCCTCATATAGAAATTCTCTGTCTAGTGGTGTCCAAGAGGTCACGCTGAAGAGCCCAGAAAATCAATCTCTTCTCTCCAAAACCTTTTAAAAGGCAAATACTTGGGGAGTTGAAAATCTATTTGGCCTTTGGTGATCCTGTCCTTCAGGATGCACCTGAGCTGTGGAGGGTGAAGCCACAGCCTCGGGTGCCCTGCAGGGACCTCGTGGGATGTGACTTTTTGTTCCCTCAGGTGTGCAGTGGTGTTGGTTTAGCACACACAGCTCGAGGTGTCTTGTGGGGCTTAGTTACACACACCTGCCTCTGAGATCTGCCCTTGAACACCTGGGGTTTCAATGAGCAGCCTGGCTGAGGTTTTCAAGGGAATTTGGGGACCTTTGTCAATCTGTTCCTGTCTTTTGAATCCGCAGTTCTTGCTTAGTCCAGCGAATAATATTGCCATTATTTTCTATTATTAATTTAAGGTTAAAAAAAACCCAATTATTTGAGTTTACACTTGGGGAATTGGAGAGATCTCACTTTATGTAGAGAAACGGTTGATTTTTTTTCAAGATTCTATATATTCTATATTGATGTTGCTAAACATTTATATACAAAAAATTCACATTAGCACAGTGCCATTATTGATGGAAAATAATTATTTATTTAATTAATTAATATAAAAGAAATATTATTAAACAAAATAAATATTTGTTTTGCTTGGATTTAATAAAAGACTTTAAAAACTTAAAAAACCCAACCCAAACCAACACAACCAAAACCACCAGCCAGCTATTGGAGTCTTCAGCTCTTGGAAGAGCTGTGGACTTGCTTCAGCAGGTGGCAGCCTTTCTCCTGGGAGCTGGAGAAAAAAAGCCATGATCACAGGTGATGATCCCTGCTGCCCTGTGATTGAAAGTGTAATACCTATTGTCCTGGCAGGCTTCTTGTATTGTAGGAAAATTTGTATTTTTTCCTACCAAAAATGGCTTTGGCAGTTTTCTTTGTTTGGGAGATGATGTGCTTCACTGTGTCAGTGTGAAAGTTGTTGAGTGACATCAACATCCTAGGAATTTCCCCCTTATGGGAAAAAAAAAAAAGTAGAATTCCATTAGGTCTAGTCCTTTTCCTTGTAGTTTTCTAATAATTTCTGCACACCTTTAGGACAAAATTTTATAGCAACGTTAAAAATGAAAATTTAGAAATAATTCTCTCAGCTATTACCATATTTTCCAAAGCCTCTTTTGGCTTCTTCATTCATAAATTGTGAGTTTTTTCCATAACTCATTGTGTGGTGTGGATAAAACTGTGAAATAGAAGGAACTGGCTTCAAAGTAGGTTACCACTGAACAGTAAAAATCACCCACCTGGTTCAGGCTTGATATGCTTGAGCAGATAAATCTCATTCCAATGATGGCCAGAAAATAATTTTCTTTATGTGGTTGGCTGCTGAATTCTTATTGAAAGGGTACTTTTAACATTAATTGACACTGTTAATGGTCTGCTATGATACTTAGAACAAAGAGATTTTAAAGATGCATTAAAATTTTGAAGTTTCCAAGTTTTCCCACAAACCATCAGAAATTAAATTAAACACAATGAAATGTAGCTCACAGACCACAAGGAAATAAATCAAAATGTAGGTAGCCCACAGATTATTAGAAATTTAAATAAATAACCAGCATTTCAGTAAGAGTGGATTTTGTAGGGGAGAATGTGCCTGTAAGCCCCAGTCCTGCTCCCTTTACAGCTGGTGCTAATTTTGTGTAGTTTACATGAAGTATGGGTTTTTTGAAAGCATATTTTCAAGCTTTAAGATTTTTAAAATAAGGAGGGGTTCTAGGCACACAAATGCAATGCATTATGTGTATGTATACAAACCCACATGGCTGTTGCTAACTTATAGGTGGGCACAATTTTAAGTGAGATCAAGATTTACAGGTTTAAAGATTTTATTAACCTGATGCATCAAAATATAAGGAGGTAGCAGCAGTGGAAGAAGAGTACAAGCCTTTTTTATTGGAACTTTCTCAATCTGTGTCTCTAGGGCAGCATGTTGGCAGCCAGGAGATGGAGAGGCCCCATCACCGTCTGTCAGTGAAGACTGTCTGTATCTGCACATCTTTGTTCCTGCCACCACTGTAAGTAAGAGGTGTCATTAAAATCGATTTTTTTTTGTAGCTGAAGATTGTCTCTTTCCAAAGTGCTTTTAATTGGCATGCATGGCTGTTTTTCCTGGGTTATTCACAAAGCCTGGAAAGTTAAATTAGGCACTGTGTTGTCTTTACTGGTGCAAGAGTATTCCCTACAGGCTTTGTGTGAGCAGTGTTGGGTGGCTAGGAGAACAGCATACTAAAAAGCTCGAAATAAGAGAGAGAAAAAGAGGGAAACAAAACACAAGAGGAAGGTGACAGCAAAGGAGAAATTAAGGACAGAGATGGCAGTGTTCCTGCAAGCAGACCATCTGTGCAGGAGACAATAATGCAATACAATACATCAACATTTGCCACCAGACAGGGAGCTGCTGATGGATTTTTTCAGCCTCATCTTTCCTGTTCCCCTGTTGACACCTGTGGGAGGTCTGTTGGGAAATGGGAGTAGCAGGCAATGGTAGATTTGTGGCCAGCTCACAGAGCTTAAAAATAGATGTTTCAAAAATGACTGGGCCGCTGGTAAAAGTAAGGAATTTTCATTTGAAAGTTCTTGATTTTCTCATTCTAAACAGATATAAAAGAAAGCTGCAAGTTAAAGCCAAGCTAAAATGATTGGCCAGCCCCTGGAGGGCTGGGGATGAAGATGCTGAATAACATGTGAATCCCATTGAATAGTGGGCCCAGAGACAGGAACTTTTTCTTTCCACAGTACTGACAATTTTCAGAAGGTGATGGTAGCTGTAATAGAAATTTATGAGTCTGTCATACTGCATGTCTGGAAAGAGCTGGTTTAGTAATCTGACAGCAGCACAGAGTCCCTTGCAGGCCCATTTAAATCATCAGAGAGACCAGCAGCCTGTCTTCTCCCTGCAGCATGAGGCTGTCATTTTGCCTTGAGTGCAGTCACATATTGAAAACATCAGGTCACTGTCCCAGGCAGTTTGCCATCTATGCTTAAGAGCTGCTTTCAAGATAGTTCATTTGAAAGCATTGTATTTTCCACCAGACTAAATAGGCTTGTCTCTTCTCCTTGTCAGTCCTGTGAACTGAATCTCTCCTGTCTTTTGTAGCTGTGTAAGGTAGAACTAGGTCCAATCAAGAAAATCAGTTTCACATGCATAAGTCTAGTCCAGGAGAGAACTAAAATTTCTGGTTTTGCAGAAGTAACTGGGAACAGAAGGCATTGCATTTTCCTCTCTTTTTTGTGGCAAGCTCTATTTTTTACTCATATGCAGAGAGATAGTTATATACATTCAGCCTGTGGAAAGTTAAATTAGCTAGCAAACATGGAATATAAAATCTCCCAGAGAGTAGCAAATGCAGAGGTCATTCCGAAGCATTTTGAGCCTCAAAAAAACACAGTGCAGGGACTGCTGCCTGCCACCAAAGGACTCTCAAAGTGCCCAGCAGTGAGGAAGGTGAATGACATAATTTTGTTTCTATAGCTACATGTACCACAGTTAAACTGGCACTTCTGACTTTTTTCCACCTATAATCATCACCACCTGTCACATTAACTCAGCAAAGCTGTGCTTTGCCTTTATTTAGAAAGGGTTCAATTGTAAGATCAAGACTTAAAAATCTCCATTAAATAGGAATAGAAACCCTCTCTCTTCCCACTCCATTTCCTGCACATTCTCATCCTTAGTGCATTGTCCCCATTGCACTCAATTCTTTACACAGCAATACTGTACAGCAGTAAAAGGACTGAAGCTTGCCTGTCTTGGTCGAGTTTAGATCTACCCCTGGCAAGTAGTTCATCAAGTGTTTTACAGAAGGATGAGCAGGGAGGTTGGACCAGATGGCCCCAACTGTTCCCTTCCAAGGTTAACCATTCTGTCATTCTGTGATGGAGAAGATGCTTGTGAATATTATGAAGCTTCTCAGACTTCCAGCTGACTTGTAGCGTCCTGGTGGCTGCTGAACTTCATTACCCCATTAAGGTTTGCACATGGGACCTAAGCCCCTGCAGCCATGAGACCATGATGGGGCTTCCCATTGCTTGGTGCAGAAAAAGAAATGGGAATTCTACATCCATACACTCAGCACTGTGCATAGTCCCAGTGCTAAATGTTCCCCTGAATTACTCCATATCCATTGCAGTTGTTGTAAATGGCTTTGGTTTGCCATTTCCAAATTTTACTGCCCATCATTGCCCTTTTAAGAAGCTTAAGCTTTTTATTGTGTAAAGTCACTCAGAATAATGTAATATGCAATTTACAGGGCAGCTGGAGGTATGGTGCTATGGAGACTGTGGATGTGTGGGAAATGCTTAGTATGAGTCTCAGGCTTAACCATACTGAGCTGAGGGGATGAAGCAGGCTCAATATAATTGTTAATACTATTTTAACTGACACAACTCGGTGTGGTTGTATTTCAGAATGAATTTCCAGGTGAAAACATATGATTTCATTTTTTTCTTCACCCCCATCTCTCTCTGTGTTGCATGCAATGCAGAAATGGGAACCAGGGACGAGGCACTGCAAGTTAGGCAGTTTCAATTCAAGAAAAGTTCATGACAAAAAACCAACTGTCTCAGTTCTTGTAACGTCTTGTGTTTTCTTGGCAATATTGTTATGTTCACAAGAAGCCCCTGAACTGATTCATCAGAGAAATACGTGAGGAGTGCACACAATTGTGTGCATATTAAGGGCCCTTGAGGTAGTTTGCCTGCTGACCTGTAATTTTACAGAATGCTGCAGCCATTGCTCCCTTTGCTGCTTCTCCCATATAGCCATTTGTGAGACATTCCTTGCCAGAACAGATGGGACTGCTGTGTTTAGCTAAGCTCCATCCAGAAAATAACAGCAACAGAGCCCATTGCCCTCTAGGTGAAAGGAAAACCAACCCCAGATGTACTTTGATGCTGCTACAGGAAAGAAAAAAATTTAAAAAAGCAAAAAGCCAAACGCCAAACTAACCTTCCCTCTCATGTTCACTGAAAGATGTTTCTTTTGAGTGTCTGTAATCTGCTGGTGAGTGCTGAGGTGTCTTGGGGCTGTTCTGCCTTTTTCCTGTCCATGCAGCAGCAGCCTGGCTGCAGTCCTGCTGTGTGTGCAGAGAGGATCCATACCTGATGCTGCTTTGGGAAAAAGCTTCTGTTTCTGTGCAAAATCAGGTGGTTCTGCCAGGAGTGTTAACATGGGTACAGATTGGGACTCATTGCCATCCCAGGAATCCTGTTGGGCTCCTTTGGGGCAGAGTCCCTCTGTACCTTGTGAGATGTGAGTCCCTCCTCTGCAGAGACAAAGTCCTCTCTGCAGGATCCCTCTATGTGTCTGGTAGGAGGAAATTTCCATGAGGACTGAAGGAGAATTATCGATATAATA